TGAACGGGTAATAGCCTACGCAAGTCGCACACTGTGTCGCGCAGAATCTAACTATTCTACATCAGAGAAAGAATGTCTTGCGGTCATTTGGGCAATCACAAAGTTTAGGCCATATCTCTACGGAATACCATTTAAAGTGGTGACTAATCATCATGCTTTGTGCTGGTTGACCAATCTATAAGACCCTTCAAGACGATTAACACGATGGAGTCTGCGCCTACAGGAAGGAATGTGATGTCACCATCGTGTACAAGTCAGGCAAAAAGCACGAAGATGCCGACACGCTACCACGAGCACCTCTTCAATCCGCCAGTACAAGCGCAGAAGAGGACGGCATCTTCGTGGCAACTTTGAGCGGGCCGGATCTGATGTATCAACGAAATGACGCCAATCTAAGAATGATTATAGATCACTTAGAAGGTGGCACTACGCCCATTCCTCGTCCGATGTCGCGACCGTTGTCATCATTTTGCCTACGAAATGGCGTCTTATACAAAAAGAACACTGGTGCTGGTGACAGATTGCATCTTCTCGTCTTGCCTGAAGCCCTTCGCGATGACATCTTATTAGCTTGCCATGACGAGCCCACATCCGGCCATCTGGGCTACTCGAGAACTATGGATCGGGTGCGACAACACTACTACTGGCCTAAAATGTCTGCCTGTGTCAAATGCTACCTGAAGGAATGCCGTGAATTCCAGCGTCGCAAGACACCACCCTTAAAGCCTGCAGGCCACCCTTAAAGCCTGCAGGCCATCTACAAGCGATCGATTTACCTTCTACACCGTTTGATCAAGTGGGAATAGACCTCCTAGGCCCGGTTTCTTTGTCTTCTTATGGCAACAAATGGATTATTGTCGCAACCGATTACTTAACCCGTTACGCTGAGACGAAGGCATTGCCACGAGAGACCGCAGCTGAAGTTGCCAGTTTTTTTATGCATCAAATCGTGCTTCGGCATGGCGCCCCGTCATATGTCATCACTGATCGAGAGACATCATTCACAGCGAAGCTCTTGGATGATATCTTCAGGTTGAGTTATACAACCCATCGAAAGACCACTGTTTATCACCCTCAGAGTAATGATTTAACAGAAAGGCTAAACAAAACGCTAGCCGACATGATCTCTATGTACGTGGATGTGCAGCACAAAACGTGGGACGACATCCTGCCATACGTAACACTTGCGTACAACACTGCAACGCAGGAAACCACACACTTCAGGCCATTTCGGTTCGTTTATGATCGAGATGTCAGAACTATGCTAGACGCCATGATTCCGTATGAGGACATCAACGAGCTCGACCAATTTGCCTCCGACATCAATGAGCAAATTCAGCACACTGAGGAAGCACGTCAACTGGCTCGTGTGCACATCAGAATTCAACAGTGCACAGATGCACAGCGGTACAACATCCACCATCGAGAAGTTAATTATGAACCTGGTGACCAAGTTTGGGTTTGGACACCCATTAGGCCGCGAGGTCTCAGTGAGAAACTCTTGAGGAAGTACTTTGGACCTTACAAAGTATTGAGACGTGTGAGCGACGTCAACTACGAAGTGGTTCCAGACGGAGGCTCACCATCATCCCAGCGCAGGTTACCACGCCCAGAGACTGTACATGTCGTCCGCTTAAAACCATACTTTACGCGGTGATGCGAATTTTCTTAGTGTGCCAGTGAACTCTTTATGTGAACAGTGAATGCCGTTTATTTCCGATTGCCGGGCCCAGGATGCATTTGCTCTCATGCGCTACTTTGTTTAATATTTGTTTATGTTGCCTACTTCGACCCACTACTGTGCACACTTTCCTTGAGCATTGGGTCGATGCTCTCTTGGAGGGAGGAGTCATGCCACCTGGTGTTCTTTGCCAGCGAACAGTGAGCATGTTCTGTGCCAGTGAACGAAGAAGACGAAGACGAGCAACCCGTGCCAGCGGAGACGTCCTTCTTTGTGTCTCAGATTTTGACAGTCACGTCTCCTTGTACATTTCTTCGAGTTCCTAGCGCGTGACAATATTAAAAAGTCAGTTTTGACTGAAAGTAGAAGCACCCACAGTGACAGCAATGCAACTATAACACCTGCAAATAGGTTCACAGGTTTAATGGCCAATTATAATGCAGTGGACTCTGGTGCACTAACCAAATTACCCAAGATAGTTTCTGCAGCACAGGCAAATACGAATACAACTAGTGCTCGCAACGACCCAGAACACTGACTTTCACAAAGCTGGTGTAATGAAGAGTGCACACAAAAGTGAGCAAACTCGTTCAGGTGCTTTTTACTTCTTAGATATAATACAAGATATAGCAGCAGATGTGTAGTAATCAAGATTTGGCAGCAAAGAGAGTCAGGCAAATTACATGACCCCTCAGCTCACTGAACCCTTGGAACTATCGCAGACTAAATGCAAGGTAGGGTGCACCTATTGTTTTCTATGACCTGTGACTGCCATTCAGGACTGATGGCTCTACGTCTTAGTGATTAAGGACAGATACATGCTGCCACCATCTTTGTCATGCACACTGAATCTTTCCCAAAATGAGCAAAACTTCTACAGTAGCGTGTGCTATAATTTTACCACAATTTTACTTTGCACAGACCACCATGTAGAAACCACCACGGGAGCGATCGTATGATTGCTACGACAATAATCCTTGTATTTGAAGTCAAAAACTTATACTGTTAAGAGTTTTTATTATTTTAGTATATTTTATTTGTTAGTGTCTTGCCAGTTCAAAAGATTTCGCATGAAATGTAGTCTATAGGTAATTTGCATTACTGTTTACACACTGCAATGGTGCATGCTGATAGATTAGTGAAAACATGTATGTGTGCAAGCTTCATCAATATGGTCATATAGATGCACTAAAGATAAAAAATTACTAAAACCGCAGCATTTTTATCGCAAACATTGGGAAGGTACATTTCGAAGTGCATGCAGCACTCAGAATTCATTCCGAGAACACATAACTTCCAAACACAAACTACAATTTTTAAACGATAACTTAATAACCTTATTTTAAGGCTTGTGCAAATATTAGAATGCTTGAAATATTTGTACAAATATCACAGTATCCAAATTCACTTCCATTCCGAATTTAAATAGCTGAAAATTTCGAATAAGTGCACATTATTCTGCATGTTCCCATAAAGGTGATTTCACTACAATGAAGGAATGCTAAACCATGAAAACACCTATTTATTGGAAATACGCATTGTCGCCACGCCCGACTTCAAGGTTAAATGAACATGTCACCTGCAGATCGATTCATCATTTTTGATGTTTAAAAGCTTGTTATACCAGCTTATATGCTCCAAGTACAGTAAATATGAAAATGCAACATATTTTACAGGTTGTCCATTTGCACTTTACCAAAAGTTAAATCCTGCTACTATTCAAAGTTGTTTCCACTTCCTTTGAACCAAAAGAATGGCATTTGCACAGACTTTGTTTCAATTTTAAATGTGTGTGTGTGTGTGCACACACACACACACATTTAAAATTTTATATATATATATATATATATATATATATATATATATATATATATATATATATATATATATATATATATATATACACACATATATATATTGTGCAGATTAGTTAGGTCCTGACAAATATGGCCATTTTTCTTTAAACATGTGACATATACTATTCAAATTCGAATTGAAGTTATCAGACCAAGAACACTGTTTGCTTTGAATTCACTTCAAACCTAGAATTCACTGTTCACACAAGCCCACTTATTTTAGAAAAAGTTTCATAATCAAAAATTAACTTTGCCTTCTTGAGATGATGTTTGCCCCAGCTCAAGAAGTACAATTGCACCACATGCCATGGATTCAATCGAAAAAAAAATGCTTTTAGGGATGACAAGGATGTCATGGATAAACTTTTCTCTTCCGCGTGTAAATCATTATGGCCTTTTATTTCTGATCCTAAGAAGTGATAGAGCAGTGGGAACAAAGTAAGATGACAGTTTTGCCGTTATGAAAGCTATATCGAAGTGAGAAAGCAAGAATAAAGAAGGTGAAAGCAATAGTAGACTACGGTCGAACTCTTTTATAAGACACATGCACCAGGGAGCAATTCTTGTCTTTAAATAAGGTGTCTCTCATAAGCAAGGCACCACGTATGCGTTTTCTTATCAACCCATATTCGCACACTGGTGTCTTTTATACTCATTTGTCTCTTACAACAGTGCCTCTTATAAAATAGTTTGACTGTATTTCAGTAACTGCAAAACATTGGCTAGAACAGCAAATTATTTTATTTTATTATACTATAGTATACGTCTACACTGCCTACTATGGAGCAATAAACCATGTGTCTACCTTGGGGACTGTTCACTTAGTCTGCTACTGATCAGCTCAAGCTTGGCAAGCAAGTTGCCTCCTACTTCCAGTTCTTGTTATTTTGGCGTCATGAGGCTTTCATGATTCTTGACACAAATGAAAGGGTCTTAATGCTCTTTACGGCAATGAATTCGGCCCCCAAAGATCCACTATATGACACACATCTCGGAGGCCATGCTTGAAGTCTGATCCCGTTAGCCCTCGAATTAGATTTCATGCGGCTGCCCACCTAATGCACATGATGCATTCTCTGCATCATTCTCAAACATCTGAACATGTTCATATGTAACTTAAGGCTTGTAAAGTTTGTTAAAGTGTCCTGTTACTGTACTTTTTGTCCAGTTTCTTTTTTCGCTGGGAATGTGCTCGCGGGTTCAGTGCATCGACGCGGTCAAGTGCACCACGACGTCACAGCTCGCCATTTTTTTAAGTAACTGAATGCACTCGGCAGAAGTGAACATGTTGCCAATTAAGGTAGACACATTAGGAATATAGCTACCCTGTACTCCAACGGTTTTGAGAGAGCAAGAACAAAGGGGGTGGAAGTGACAGTAAACTGTTTCAATGATATTCATGAGCAAGCAAGAAACTGCAAAAACACAGGCCAAGAAGCACATCAATTTATTATATAGCATACCTCTACGTAGCCTACTGGTCTCCCAACAGTTGTAGCTTGCTTGTTCTCAGGATCCCTTTCAGTCACCAGTGTAGATGCTGTTGTTGTCTCTGTAGATCCATAGCCAACCTGCAAATGGATATCATCATCAGCAGCGGCCCGACCCCACCTACTGCAGGGCAAAGGCCTCTCCCATGTTTCGCCAATCAACACAAGTATCTGCAAAATGCAAATGACACAGGTAAAGAAATCAATGCGTCTAATTACGCATTTACTTGTGATACTTGACTGGACGAGATGAAGATTGTCAGAAGTGATAATATAAATGCACATTTGGTATTACACGCTTACGCTATACCAAAGAAGATGACTGCAGGCATTAGTGATAATTCCATATTCTTCTACAGTGGAGGGAAGGTGTTTCTGGTTGTTCATATATAATTACACATCTCATTCTTGTTTTTCGTGCATGTGTTTTTGTGTATAATTCTTTTGTTGATACTTCTTTTACTTATTCAGTTCTTCCACCCATTGCCAAACAGTGCAAGTTTGCACTTGTTCTGTGCCCTTCCTTTTAAAAGTTTTCTTTTTTGCCCAACCTTTTTCTTTAAATGTAATGTGTTGTTGTAAAATATGTCAGAGTGTTTTCTTGTTTTAGACAGCATAGAATTTTAATAAAAATTGCATGTCAGTGTTGCTTCTGTTGTTTGCCCACGTAAACTTAAAATCGAGGTGGAAATGCTATGGTACAGCTTAAGTGAAACTGAAGAGACTAAGTAACAAAAGTACTATTTAAGTTATTGATTACTGACTTTGGTGCATACTAACAATGTATTGTTGGTGATAATTTATAGCATACCCATTACCCTTTCTTTTGAAATTGCAAGAGTAGCATGCAATTTGAGATATTCATGACCGAAATTGATGACAATACCAAAATTGACCGTGCCCACAGCCAGAGTCTTTCAGTACCATTACTGGTCAAGAAGCTCTGCCATAACTTTTTGCTTGCTGAGAGCTTTGTCCGCTGCAAGAGGAGGCTGTGGGGCAGTGCTGCATTCCTGCGCAGGGCATCAAGTATATGACGGCCGGACGACCGTGCCGTTTTCATCATACGTTTGGTATTGTGTGCGTTGTGCTGGAAGATCAAAAAAGATGCCGCATACATGCAACCTACATGAGGGTCGATCCGGTTACAAGGCAAAAGATGAAAAGGTGTGTTATGTTCTGGCTGCCTAGACAGTGAGCGGCAGAGAAAGCAGAAGCGCACTATACCGCAACAAGAAACTGCTGGTTTCACATTTTCCGGTAAGTGCGTGTGTGTGAAAAGCATTTTGATGAGCGTGGGATCTTTCACATGAACCAGTGGCTAATCGGAGGAGTTGTTTTGAAAATGCCACACAATGTTCCGAAACTTTTGCCGGACGCTGTGCCAAGGAAGTTTCCCCCGTCCCCCAACGTATTTGTCCAGTGAAAAAGGTCTCAAGCTCGTCCGCCTACCAAGTGTCGCCAGGAACTGTCAGCTGAGCTGGAGACTGTTAAGGCTGCATCGACACTGTGCATGAGCCCCTTTGACACAGCTGCAGTGAATAATAACACTGTTAATGAACATGAGCATACTGGCCGCATTTTTCTCGTTGCAAGCCAGTAATAGAGAAGCTCGATAAGTGAAACGCTCGCCGTTTTCTTTTAAGCAGGCACTGAGATGACAGAAAGTATAGAGGTTACATACCAATCAGACGAAGCTACATGCAGCTCCTCACAGCTCAAAAATTCAAAGCTCACATTTATTGCTTGGAACAGAGACTTCAGCGCTACCAAGTGAAGCTTGCTAGGGTGACGGCGCAAGAGAGCATGCACGAAAAAACTGTACAAGAGTTGCATGAGCTGTAAAAGTGCGAAAAGTTAATTTTTGATATCAATGCTTCATAAGCACAAGATGATAATTTTTTGCGTCGCATGATAAGGGTGCCGGAGTGGGATGCAGTCGTCGATTTTCACATTTGGGAAGGCATCCTTTCATCCTTAACAGTAAAAACAATAAAGACAGGAAAAACACAGCATGAGTAAGCTACACAGCTAAGTAAAGGACTGGGAAACTACACTGCATGACCAACTCAGCTTTAATCACGTTATGGCACCATAATGACAAATAACCACAAAACAAAACACAAAAACTTAGCAAAAGCCATATGAAGTATTGCTTGATGCTCATCAGTGATCACTTGCTAAATTCAAAGCACTGATTATATCAAACTAGATGTTGTTTTGATAAATATGAGGCTATTTTAAGATCGTATACAAACACCGAATGTATATATAGCCTGAGAGATTGGATACATTCCGTCAAGAGTTGTAACCACTACACTTCCGTGACGCGTTGAGATCCACTAGAGTCGTAGCACTCTGGATTATCCACAAGTTTTCACTCGATACACCAGAAGAAAAAATAAGCATGCTTTTATAGCAGTAGCGTACCTTACAGTAGAAGCAGCATGCGTTGGTGGCTGTTGAATTTCTACCTTCAAGGCCTCATTCGGCGCTAAATTTCCCTGTATTAGAGCTTCCCCTAATTCCCTTGAAGGTAACATCACTCTGAAGACGTAATTAATTTTCATGAGTACATTTATACACTTTTCACAGTTTCGGCACATGCCATACAATCCTAGTGCCATGGCTGCTCCAATACCCCGGCGTGGGCGAGGGTGTCCCTAGGGGTTTCTCTTGTCCCTACACCAAACTTTCGTCGAAGCTTCATGACAAGGAAAAGTATTGAACGACTCTGCCACAGAGCACAAAACATGGCCACTTTATTATCCCATGACCAAAAGCACCAAGCAGCATTTGTGTCCATGTGATAAAAGCCTGGTTTTTCTATTTCACCATTTTTTACAATGGTCAGACAAAATTTCTGTAGTTTTCATACATTTTGGTCATCAATTTCACGCAAAGCAGTGAACAAGAAACTGCCTATGCTGCCTTTCCTGGTTTTGAGCTAAGTTTGAGAACGCAGATTGATGCCTTTGTGTAAATTGTGTAGATGTGTGCATCTCATCATCTCATTAGTTGCTTGCTAAGAATCTTTGAGGCACATTTGTAACAATTTGTATGCTACACTAAAATCACCAGCTATAACAAGCGATACCTCTTTCTCTTGTTGAAGGCGTACTGACACCAGTTTTCGGTGGTGTGTTAACACTGCTATACAGATCTCCTGCATACAGAGACAGCTTTGGGCAAATTTGAGGCTCAGCAAATGCAGGTGAGATATTTTAGATTGATAAAGAAGTCAATTTTCCCACGGGACACCTACCAATATAAGCACTAGCTTGACGTCAGGATACAGTACAAATTCAGGTGACTTCACATAGCAGTCTAGCTAGTTGTGATGACGTCAGGCCCCAAAACTTTCAAAATAGCCACTTGTGCATCACCAGAACACTCAAAATTGCCACTTCCGTGTCACCAATGAAGCCACAGTGCGAAGCAGCCATGGAAACATCACGATATCTTGCGTGACCATGTGACGAGAAGCTAATACCATGTTGTGACATCAATTACAGAATGGAACAAAACTAGCTTTCAAGAATGCACTAATCAATTTCTCAGGGTCCATTCACACTTTCAAGACTCTTGGGGGCGTGGACTTTCATTTGATGCAAAAAAAACTACAATAAAAAATTTTCGTGTAAGTACCTCTTTAACACATATGTGAAGGGTATTATGAAACTACTTGCCATGGTAACTTATGAGGAGAAGCTTGAGGGCGCAAGTTCAATTCTTGGTCAAGGCTGTTACACTTCGAATGTGGAGAAATAGAAAAAATACCCACGTACTTAAAGGGGCCCTCAAACACTTTTTCAAGTAACCATAGAATGAATTCACTAAAAGAGCTTATTGCCTTATGAATTCAATGCCGCAAAAATTTTCAAGAATTCGTCCTATACGAGTGGAGTTACAAAAATTTGCTGCACGCTGCAATTGCATTTTCTCTTTTCTTGTCCCGACAAAAGCACTAGAAGCTAAGCAGGAAGGGATCGCAGGGGAATAAATATACTTCACGCACGCCTCGAGATCTTGAGCATTTTTTCTCTTTTTTTTCCTTCGCATACACAACTTTTCAAATGTGATGGAGCATGCATGCGTGGACAAGTCACGGCTCCTCCGACAATATCTGTAACGACGGAGTGCGCCATGTTCAAATCAGCCAATGACTGATAGACTGATAGATGGCCTTTCATGAGTAATTTTCGAGCATCTTTCATCATTTGAAGAAAGAAGAGGAAGTAATTTTTAGCTTACTTTAATAATTTATTGTGTTCCAGGCCACGTGCTGCGCTATAATATTTAAATCACGTGTTCATGGGAGCCTCTACTACCGATCAGCAGTGTTTTCTGACCATGTTCAAAAGTGTTGCAATTTAGGTGCTAGTCAAAGAACCTCAGGCAGTCAAAATCAATTCGGAGTCCCCTACTACAGCCTGCCTCATAATTATGTAGTAGTTTTAACACATAAAATTGCCAAGTATCTTGTTATGATTGTGTTATCAAACATGTGCTGTTTCTTTTTTCTACTCTAGGAATTTGCCCGTGGAGCATAGCCGCATACCAAGGGCCATGGTCAGGCATATGCCACATCTGATTGGGGAAAAGGGCTTCATCGCATGCGTGACAGACGTGTCATGTTATTCATGTCTTCACCTGTCAGGTACGTTCCTTATACACCCATGTTCTTCTATGCAAATATTGGTACACACCAAGTTAAGGAGAGTTAATTAGTCACTTAAATGTCATTTTAGCTGTGGCAAGGTATTTCCATCTCAACATAGAATTCATGTACACAAGTGAGAGGAGCTTGACTATTGTAGGATTTTTATTATAAATTGTACTTTCTATAGGAAAAAAAAAGAAGACTCTGCATATACTATTGTGATTATGTATCTATATTATCTATGTACTCACCCAAACATGAGCCTTAAACTTTTCTCTTGCCAACTTTCTCATCTCAGGAGTGACCACATTGCCTCCCATTACAACTGCACCAAATACACACACAAAAAGAAAATGAAACAAAACTTATAGTAGTCATTGTGTTGATTACAAACATTTACAACAGCTTAGAAAAATAAAATGATCCTGCAACACACAAGGTATCTATATAATGTACAGCAACATGTATTTGTCACAAGCAAAAAATGTACACACCCCTGTTCAGGCTGGAAAGATCACAGCTCTTGAAATCCGGATGATTTATCATGTCTGCAATCATAGTTGGTGCTCCAGCAACTTGTGAACACCTGAAAAGACGAAGTAGATGTGCGGGGTGTATATCAATGTTTAACCTGATTGAAGGCACGTGCTCTGAATTATACATGTAGACAGGCAGTAAGAAAGGTTATTTTGTGCACCCCTGGTCAAGACAGTATGTGGGCACCACATTGCCCGTTTGAGCCAATCAAAACATACTTTTGCGTGGCCAATGAGGTGAGTTATGCAACTGCTCCTGTGGCAGCACTCCATGGATTGAGCAAAATCAATGCAAAAAGTGTCGTCTGCTTTCATCAATGAAGTGGTACATATGACTGTAAAATAGCAAAACTTTGAAACCCTGTAGCTGAACTGATCTGTGAAGAATTCGTTGAGAGTTTCCACTCATGTACTCTGCATTGTTCTACGATGGCAGTATCACTGACAGACAACCTAGCTAACGACATCCAGAACAGGAGCTCATTGGTGCAGCCTTGTGTACTACTGCCTTCTTAAGATGTACCTGACTTTAGAAGCTGCTACTACTACTGCACACATGACAACACCTACAACATTAAAGAGGATCTGCAACACTTTTCCAAGTAAACAACATATGACCTCCCTATCCGAGTTTACTTCTTCACAAATCTATTTCCACAAATCTTCTTGAATCCATAAAATATAAGCAGAGAGTTGCAAAGATTTGTTGAGCTCTTCAAGTGCTTTCTCTTTTCATTTGTCCCAAAGAGAATGCTGCAAGGTACAAAAGAAGAGATGACAAAAAGGCAAAAAGCTGCCACATCAGCGCTTGACAATAACTTGAAAACTTTTTTTTCTTATTTGCTTTGAACATGTCCGCTTGCTTTCATTGTGAATTCTGTACAGCATTTCCATAGTGTATAATTCTGACACTACAGAACGTGGTGTGGGTACTCAGGAGCACCCCATGGTGACTGTGGTTACTATGCTGCACACAATCAGCCCATGACCATCTTTTTTTGTCAGGCCAGTCTATCACAGAATGTTGCCAAGAGTCAGTTACTTCTAGTGTTCTTTGAAACGTACTTAGCTTGTATTAGCACGGCACGTATGAAAAGAAAAAAAAGGAAAAGATGACACAGACATCAAAAAAAGTAGGCGCCTACCTTTTTTGACGTCTGTGTCATCTTTTCCTTTTTTATTTTTATATGTGCCACGCTAGTGCAAGCTAAGTTCATGAATAACCAACTCGCCTGAGCCACAACACTTTCAAAATGTAATTGCAAATACATTGCCACATGTACTGCTATAATACTTGGCTGACATGTTTACAGGTGCCTTGACTACCTATCCGCAGCATTTACTCACCTATTTAAAAAAAAATTTTGCAGTGTACCTACAGCGAAAGATGCGTGAATTGATACCCCCTGAGACACCCCCTGTAAACATTACTATAGTAAAAAATTGTGTCTGGCAATTGGGGAGGAAAACGAGCAATCTTTGGCTGTTTTTAAAATTATATAGCAAAATTTCATGCTGCAAGCAGTGCCCTAACTTTGGCTCACATGTTCAGAGGAGCCTTAAGGGGGGACGCGGCACTTCGGGACCGAAAATCAGCCAAAAAAATCGAGTTTTCGCGGACCTTCTTTTCGCGTTCCCGACATCATTGCGCACCTATTTACAAAATTTCATAGCCGAATACCATCAACTTTTATCGTTATTCAACTTTAAAAAACCGAAAACGGGCGTCCTGCCCTTTAAATTGAGGGCGAATAGCGCAGGTTTCGGCTCTACGATACGCGGGAACTACGCGCTCGATCGGCGCCATTTTGGTCTTGTTTGAAAGAACGCGTTTTCAGCTGTTTTTTTTATTCAGTAAGCAACATTGAGCGTTTCCCCGGCTCGAAAAACGGGGCCTCAAAGACGAAGAGCCGCGCTCACTGCCATTGGCTAAACGGCGCACGTGACTGAAATGGCGCTTTCCGGTTGGCTGGAAGCTCGCGGCTTGCGCCTGCATACGCGACCTGTCTTGTTGCATCTTCTGCAATAAAAATGTGTGCCCACGTTTTTTCTCGATTTCTCAAAACGACAATTTTCATGTGCTTCCCATTATGCCGGAGCAATATCTCTTGTTCTATCTGGGTTATCATTACGATTTCTTTTTTGTTTCGAAGATAAATGCAGGGTATGTGTCGTAAAGTAAGTTTTATTGTAATAATTTTTGGAGAAAATTCTCTAAATGGATCTTTTGTTTCAAGTGTAGATGGGGAAATTTTTCATGTCATATTCAACATCCCACAACTTTGCTTCGAAATAGCCCAGAACAATGATTTATACTTTATTGCACACTGTGAACATACCGAATCGGTTCTATAGGTTGCACATCAATATCCAAGTTACAGTTAATTAGCTAATTAGGCCTTAATTGAAAAAGTCGCAGTTCATTATATCTTTAAAACTTATTGTCACAGCAAAAAAAAAAATTAGATTTTTGAAATCAGCAGTAAAATCTACATAGGCTCTCCAAATTTGACTGAGGTACTCGCAAAAATAAAAGAGTTTTTGGAAGGTGTAGCATCCCCCCTTAACTAGTGCATGCAGTGATCTAAGCTCTTTCTTGCATTTATGAACTTGATGTATAAAAGCAACAACGTAAACCAAGTTTGGCACAGCTGATGGCTGACTAGAAAATTCACACAACGCCTTCATGGTTCTTTCATCCTCTGTTTTGCATTTTAAACAGCAGAAAAATCAAACAAGTGAGGAGAAATGCATCATTCAATAATAGGGCAATGTATAGAGCCAACCAATAAACTTACCTACCTGTAGTTCTGGATAGCTTTGAGAACCTCCTTGGTGTCATAACCAGCACATGGAACCACGGCACAGTTTCCTCGTATAACAGTCAAACCCAAGGAAAGTGTCATGCCAAAAACGTGGAAGAAAGGCAAAGGACAGCACAGGACTGAACGCTGCAACCACAGAAAGTAGACAACATAGTAACCCAAAAAAGTGAAGAAGACTTCTCTCTTGGTTCACGCATACTATATTAAAGAGGCCCTGTAACACCTTTCCGAGTAATCATCTAGTGACCTCTCTATAGGAGTTTATTGCCTCATGACTTTTCTGACAAAAATTTCTTAAAATCTGTCAAGTATAAGTTGAGCTGAAGGGATTCGTCACAGGTTTTGAGCACTTTCTCTTTCCTTTTATCCTGACAAGTGTAATAGAAGATGCCCAAGAAAGGATGACAAGGAGGCAGGAAGCAAAATCAGTACATGCTATGGTGTCACAAACGAGCGCTCAAAAAAAGCCCGCGCCGCCGAATTCTGGCGACCAAGCGCCAGAGAGAAGCCTCAAGGCCAACGCTAAAGAAGAAAACAAGCATCCAAAGACTCCCCAAGTGCGCCGTCCCTCTCCCCCTCGGAAGCGTAGTTTCGCCGACCAACCTCCTCACATCGGCTGCCGAGCAAGCCCTAGAAAGATCTGGAAGGAAAGGGGCGTGGTGTTGTCGAGTTGCGTCACGGGTCGCGGACGGCCCTCGAAACCTCTCGCTCTTTCCCCAGCCTTGGCTGTGCATCGCTTCGACGAAACGATGAGAAGTTTCTGGAATCTAGCGCGAAAGGTATTTAAGCGAGCAGCGAAGAAGGGAAAACAGGAGAAGAAGAAAGTTTGCGGCCGTGTGCATAGGCAGGAGATGAAAGTTTTGCACAAGTGTGCGTAGGGTCTTTGCATCATATCGTATCGGCGAAGATTTTGTCCTTAGTGACAAAGCAGGTGATGAAGAGGGTTTCCGCCTGAAGGGTGAAGGTTGGTGCTACCAGCAGAAGAATAGTGTGAGACTACTGCCAAATAGCGAAGGCGCGTCCTGCAATCGCAACGCGTGTGAAGCCGACGTGTTACCGGTGAAGTTTCGTGCTTGGAGAGCGGCCAATTGAAGACGCGAGGTTTCCTGGAAGAGAAACTACGGGGGCAGCGGATCGACAACAGCGTTGATATTTGAGTGAGTGATTCTTGGAAGAGTATCATTCAGACTTTGTTCCAAGGACTTTGGACTGAATCAGTTTTCGAACTCTTTAGTCTTTAAGTGTCTTGGCTGTTCAATGCATGTGATTGCATTGTAGTGCGTATTGTTGTTTATGTCCGTTGTTTCGAGTGTAAATGATTGTACTGTGTAGTACGTTGTTTGATTGGTGACTTATCATATTCAATTATTTGTGTATCGTTTGATCTGCCATACTTGAGAATATAATTTGGTTTTGGTTATCAACTCTCGGCTCTGACTCGTTCTTTGGGCCACAGCCGGCGTCCGCTGGCGCGCCAAATAGGACCACCTCTAAATTGTCCGCGCTTTCGTGGGGCAGTTCGGGGGGGCTGATACTTCGGCTTTTAGAATTAGCCCCGCAATCGCCTCCCTAATTAACAGGACCTGTGATATATGGCCTATGGCATTACAGACGAGTGCCACACTAGCACATGGCAGTACCCCATTGGTGGCCGTGGTACCTATGCACTACAAGAAGCATGACTGCCATGCTAACTAAAGTGTGGCCAAGCTCTATGAGAAACTGGGACACACTAGCTTTGCCAAGCGTCAGGTTGACCAGCAGATAGTAGCATAATACAGATGACGCATTTTTAGGCAGTTTCAAAAAAGTAAATACCAAGCAATGTATGCCAAGGTGTGTAGCTCGCACGGCATTTAGGAGAGTGCAAGCATGCACTGGAAGACGTACCATAGGGTTTGTAACCAACAACGTGCTTTGGTAAGCACTGTTGTAGCGGGCTCAGAACAAGACAAGTGACAGACTCAAGCCCTTATAGAGTATTAAATAGCACAAATGTGGTACCCTTAGTGCTGTCGTGCATAAACACAGGAAAAAATAAAACAATAGGAAGATGACTTTCTATCGGGACAGAAAGTGCAAATATAAAATACCATTTTGATGTTCATGAAGATAGAGACAATATCCAACTACGTAGCTTAACAAGAAGAAAGCGAGCATTGACTGATATGTAGTAGAGGGCTCCAAACATTTTGACCACCTAGGGAGGAAAACGAGCAATCTTCGGCTCTCTATAAAATTATATCGTAAAATTTCATGCTGCAAGCAGTGCCGTAATATTTGGCTCACATGTTCAAAGGAGCCTTAACTAGTACCAGCCAAATTTTGTGGCTATTTTCAAAAACAGTTGCAGGGCCCCTTTAAAAGCTTAAAGGGGCCTTTCAACACTTTGGCAACATGGCAAAAAAATGCTACTCATTGGTAGTCTATGATCCAGAAAAAAATATGAGTCAATGCACCACATGTAACGCACCACATGACCTAGAATTCACAATAAATTCTGAAAATCTTTTCTTCTTTTTTCGACAAATGATGTTATACACTCAAAATCATCGCGCCATCGACACAAGTTCCATGCCATCGGCTTATTTGAGCATGACGCACTTGGTAATTACTGCGGTGGCCGTGGGAGGTGCACACATGTTCGTTGATTGAGTGATTGATTGATTGATTGATTGATTGATTGATTGATTGATTGATTGATTGATTGATATGTGCAGTTTGACGTCCCAAAACCACGATATTATTATGAGAGACTCCGTAGTGGAGGGCTTCGGAAATTTTGACCACCTGGGGTTCTTCAACGTGGACCCAAATCTGAGCACATGGGCCTACAACTTTTCCGCCTCCATTGGAAACGCAGCTGTCGCAGCCAGGATTCGAATACGCGACCTGCGGGTCAGCAGCCGAGTACCTTAGTCACTAGACCACCGCGCCCACATGTCCGTGCACAACTGCACAATCGTACTAGAAAATCGTGCGCTTAAAGACAAAAAAAAAAGAAGAAAAAGTGTTCAAGATCACGAGGCCCACGTGACGTACCTTCTTCCCAGTGCCATCCCTGCCTGCTTAGCTTTCAGTGCTTTCGATGTGATAAGAGGAGAGAGAAAGCAATTACAGCGCGCAACCAATCTTTGTAACTATGCTCATACTGAACAGATTTTAAAAATTTTTGCAGCGGTAGATTCGCGAAACAGTAAACTCCTTTCGTGAAGACATTCTACGGCTACATGGAAAAGTGTTGCAGGGCTCCTTTTAGCTGTTAGCACCCACAGGGAAAAATGTATATGCTAGAACAAAGTTAACCAGGTATTATGAGGCAAACTAAAAGCACAGCGTATGCCATATGTTTCTTTGTACAAAAAAAATTGCACAAGGACTTGTATTAACAAACCATTCTCAGCCTTACCTCAAAATTTTATTATCACTTCTAAGCCTTCATTGCACTTGATGTACAAAGTAGGCCAGTATTCATGAACCCATCTTGTTGTATATTTGACCTCATTACCATTTTTGGGCTCTTGCAATGCATGTAGAGGGCACAGAAACTTGAGAAAAACTCGAGGCAAGGCTGAGGTTGATCTGAGAACGCGGCCCTTAGGCATATAGTAATTTAGAAATCGCTAGCTCTATGCCACAGGCAGGAAACATCTCTATTAAAAAGCAGAAGAATCAGTCAAACTCATCATTTCTGGCTAGATAAATCTCGAAAATGTGAAATACCAGTCTGAAAGCCTAACTTTAATTTTAGGTCGCTAAGAAACTATCCTAGTAATACTGAAAATTATACTAGGTCAAATAAATTTCAAGCCTTTAAAAATTACTGAACAAGCTCCTATGTGCCTTGTAAACTGCAGATAACTGAAATGAAAATCAAAAGTGATACTAAATATTTTTTATATATATGAGAACCTTTTCATAATGTTCTCCTTGTAAATATGTGCAGAATAGTTTCTCTGTATGATACCCCAGGCAGAAAGCAAGCAAATATTCTGCCTCTGCAGAATTCACATTAGATCAGTGCCAACTGTGGTTCAAGAAGTTGCCTTAGAACTGAGAAGATTGGTTGTCATCATTCTCGAAAATACGCCCACTTCTGTCTCATTAACAACACACATATTTCATTTGGCTTTTACAATAACGAAAAATAGATGTTGCTTGGCCATGAAACAATGTAAACCAATTAATGCACATACATAACCAAAAATGCTGTGCAGGGAGTTATTTGTTAGAATACATTGAAGTGTTTCCAGAAAATGTATTTTATGAGCTTTTCCTACATGCTCTCTTTACATTAGAACACAATTTTTGTATTTCTATTTAGCGTGACATAAAACTCGATTTAATATTTCTGGGTTTCATTGTTTGCTAGTTTTTATTTTTAATCAATTGATGAGGTGCTAATTTACTTACGAGCTGCTCTCAGTAAAAGGCACAATATAGGAAGACTACGTAGAAGGAATATTAGCCCTAATGATTTTATAGCCAGCCACATAGGCACATAAAAATCTATACAAGATAGTGCTCACCTCAGGGTCAGGTGAACCATGATCGTACATGATTGAATTATTTACAAATCCATGATGGGAAAGCATAGCTGCCTTTGGAGTTCCAGTGGTGCCCTGAATAGAAAATTGCAATCAATAAAAAAAAGAATTTTCACGCATAAACTCTGTGACATATAGCCTATTAAACTCCGTGACAGCTAGTTGGATAGAGAGAACTTCATCATAATGGTGACCTTTCCAGCTTCTTGTGAGCTCTGGGGACGTGAAGAAGTCTTCCAGGGCTCACATCTTGGATGAGCTCTGATGTGAAGCCGGCAAACATCTTTCTGTTCTCAATGCTTAAGTAAAGTCTGAAATTTCATTATTTCGACAATGTTCTCGCCATCCAATTGGCTGTTACAGAATCTCTGATAGTGGTCTCAGCAGTAGTCTTTTAGTAATGTATACTGCACTAGTACAAGCCAAGTTCATGGTTCACCAACTTGCCCGAGCTACAACCCTTCCGAATTTCAGGAAGCCTTTGCAACATGAGAATCGTGTTGTAAGCAGTGCATTTGACCACATGAGGAAACTAGTTTGAAGAATTTAAATGATATTCACCATCAAAAATTTTTTTCAACAGACCCACTCTCATTACTTTACGGACAGAATTCGTAAATACAAAACGACAGGCAATAAGAGTTTAAACAATGCGACTACAAAGAAGCAGTGGGGCGTCAAAAACCTAAAACAAACGCCCATAGTTTTCTAAAGACTGTGTAGCAGATTATTTAGTAATAATAATAACAACAATAAAAACAAGACGAAGAAGATGAAGAAGAATGTTCATTATGATGCCGAAGTACACCTTTGAAGACTGTACTGGTGCAACGTAAAATGACTGCCACATGTGCGTCTGTGCTTTGGAATACTATATAATGCTCCACGTGCTCTGTGAAAAGGCAATGAAACAGGTGGCTTCAGAAATATTTGAAACTTTTGCTATTAGCATTTACAAAAGCAGCATTGCCAGTGTTCCTTCTGTTGCTCTGTCACAGAAAGAACTTCAATATTTGGATGCCTATCTTGTACATGCAAAGTGATTACATGTGATGTGCACAAAAAAAAGCTCCCACGTAGAGTGATACAGTGAAAGCTCGTTAATTCTCACCTCATTAATTCGAAATTTTGGATAATTCGAAATGGTCGCCGCAGTCCGGTCCGCAGTGCATAGGAGACCATGTGTAAAACGATTCGTTAATTCGAACAGAAATTGCTGCCTCTACGGATAATTCAAAGCGCGCGCCGCCGAGCGTCATCATCGTCAAACACTAGTGGAAGCTTTTACGGTCGAACGATAGGTGGCACAACCAGTTTTTTCGAGCTTCAAGTGGCCTCCGAGCAAAGGGCGAGCAAAGTATGGCCTCCAAAATCCAGGGAGCAATTTTTTTTTTTTCCGAAGCCCTCCCGCTATCTCAGCGCCTGGCGCCACTTGTACGAGGGACACACGGGACGCTGAGGAGCCGGCGGAGTAGTCCTAGCAGTCCTAGGCCGCTCCCGGCAGCGTCACTTTGTTCCTCGAGCACGTTGTTCGTTCACGCCGTCAAGCCGTCTTATTCCGCATCGAAGTTGCAAGATGCCGCGGGGAAACTACTGCGCGAAGACTGTCAAGGAGAAGGTGGAGATTTCGCGAGAGGTTGACCAAGGGAACTCGAGCAAATACGAAATTGCGAGGAAGCACGGCATACCTCCGAGCACGTTGTCAACCTACATACGCAACAGGACGGCCATTGAAAACGCCTATGAAGCCGAGGATTTTGGCGCCAGTCGAAAAAGGCTAAGGACAGCGAAGTTCCCGGAACTGTAGTCAGCTTTGATTATCTGGGTTAAAGAAATGAGAGCCCAGAGTATCGCATTGAGCGGCCCTATCATCATGGCCAAGGCAGCCGATTTCGCCCTGCGCTTGGACATTGAAGACTTTGTCGCCTCCGAGGGATGGTTTCATCGTTTCAGGGAGTGGCACAATCTCGTATTCCGCACGTTATCCGGCGAGGCAAAGGAAGTGGACGCCGAAACATGCGCTACTTGGAGAAGCGACACCCTGCAGCAGTACTTGGAGAGCTACTCACCAGAGGATGTGTTTAACGCTGACGAGACAGCGTTATTTTTCAAGTTGCAGCAAGACAAGACGATCACCTACAAGGGAGACAGCTGTGCCGGCGGCAAGCGCAGCAAAGAGCGTGTCACTGTTCTGGTCGCCGCAAATATGACCGGTACAGAAAAGGTCCCCCTTTTTGTGATTGGCAAAGCACTCAAGCCACGGTGCTTCAAAAACATTCGCTCACTGCCGACGGAGTACGCCGCAAACAAGAAAGCCTGGATGACAGGTGACCTATTCAGGAAGTGGCTACTGAAATTCGACAGGCGAATAGAACTGGGTGGCAGACGCGTTCTTCTTGTCGTCGACAACTGTTCGGCACACAAAGTCGACGTTGAGCTGAGAGCAACTAAGTTGGTGTTCCTTCCGGCAAATACGACTGCGGCCCTACAGCCAATGGACCAGGTTGTGATAAGGAACATTAAGTGCTTTTATAGGCGTCACATGCTGGAGAAAATGATTTTGTGCGCGGGCGACAGGAATGACTTCGACATTACGCTGCTCACTGCCATGCACATGTTGGTGCGCGCATGGGAACAGGTGACCGCGACCACAATTGCTAACTGTTTCCGCCAAAGTGGATTTGCAGCTGGAAGTGCGCAGGATAGTTGTGACGTCGACGTGGATGGTGCTGAGGAGCTCATGCCAGTGGCATTGCGCGACACTCTTCGGGGCGTACGTTTTGCCGATTATCTTGAAGTTGACACCGGTGCATCAGTGTGTGGTGCCCTGACTGATGAGGACATTATCGCTCAAGTAGCCGGTGCGCAGCCTGATGCTGAAGAGCCAGAAGGTGACGAAGACGAAAATGACGAAGCGCCTGTGCGCCCGTCAGCTTCTGCGGTGATGGAGGCACTTAATGTGGCGCGTCTCTTCTTCAGCTTTGAAGAGGGTGAAGAGGATTCCCTGCGCCGCGTCCGCGCGCTGGAACAGAGAGCCGCAGCTGTGGCATTCAGAGAAAAGAAGCAGATGGTCATCACCAACTTTCTTGGCCAATAAATATTTTTCGTGACCCCACCCCCGAAATCCACCCATTTTCGCTCACTTTCATTATTTCGAATTTTGTTTAATTAGAAATTGCTCAGCGTTCCCGTGGAATTCGAATTAACGAGCTTTTACTGTATTGCAAGTGCAAACTTCTTCAAAGTATTTGTTTGTTTTCTTTCAGTTAAATCAGTTAATTTCTTGCACGCATCCTGTCTTCATGTGTTCAGTCCACAGTAATCACATAGTTCATGAGGAGATAGTGCAGCAGAAAAACTGGTTTAATCTTTTGCTGCAACTTGAAAGCATGCCTTGTAATGCTTAACACGTCTTAAACAGCATGTCAATATTTTTATAGTTATCTGCATTAATGCTTCACTTATTTTTAGTTCAAAATCAGATTTTTAAGACACTATTGGCTATGTGTGATTGATCATGTGACAGATATGTATGCATTGAGGAGAGATGTACACAGAAATTAGAATTTTTCAGTCATCATCAGTCTTGAATACACCTCAAAGAGTAGCTGCAGAGCATCACAATGTCTTTCTGTGTAGGCAAAGCAGTGTGATTATTAAAAATAAAGAAATAAAAGAAAGAAACAAGAAAATGACTGGCTCTACCCTAATCGAGAGTACCATGTAAGCATAAAATGGCTACTGGCAAAGCAGACTGGTTGGAGATGATACTAGCCAAAATCTTAAAACGGTTATAGTGGATGTCTGTTAGAACACACCCCACCGAAACTACATCACACCACACTGCACTTTAGCACTGGTCCACATGGATGCCATTGCTTCCTGTCACTGTATGACATAAGTCTTGCACTTTGCTTAGTGTAAATGGCCATGGTGGGATGTCATGATGGTGCACTGCATGCAACGTGATGCTATCTCTCAAAGGAGGTGGTAACTTGCACCATGGCATCTATAATTAGCTCCTCCAGCTGAACACTGTTTACTCTCCAATGACAAAAAAAAAAAAGTACCGGTGTGGTGGCAGAACTTAAAAGAGCAATTGTATGGTATCCCTTTTCTACCTCAAAAACTTCGCTATTGGGGATTGCAAATAAAACAGCGTACAAGTTAAATCTTCAGTGATAGTATGATAAAACATTAAGAGGAACCTAGTCATACTAAAAAGAACTGAGTCAATATTTTTCAAAAATATGTTTAGGCCGTAGCAAGCATCCGTGTCTATTCGTGATCCAGAACTATCGATAACACTATTGATACTTTATATCTATAGTTCACTGAATATAAAACTATCAATGATAGAAATAATTATTGATATCTCTATCGATATAAGTTCAATGGTACTATTGATAGCATAAAATCAACTACGCAAACTCATTGCAGCGTAAACTTCGTTCCTCGAGTGCATGGTGAATGGTAGAGCATGAGAAGCAGGCGGAAAGGCAAGAAAGTTGACTGGCCAGTGTTGTAATAGGGTATGCATTTAGGCTGGTTGGTTCATGATTTCCAGTAGAAAATAGCGCTAAAAGACAGAACAAAAAAGGACACACACTACCCTTTCTTGTCCTGTCTTTCAGTGCTGTTTTCTACTGGAAAAGCTTGTATTCTTTCACCAAAATGCTTCACTGACATCAAAATCAAGTTTAACTGCTTACTTCTAGTGGAAAAGAAGTCATTACAAATGAAAGACTTGTGCGGCTTAATATTGATATTGCATTCTCTGATTTCAAGGTAAAAATATCAAGTACTGATTGTTAGGGTTTTCCTTCCCAAGATCAAAATATCAAAATTCTTAACTGAGTTTCTTAATTGTAAGATGTAACTGATTGCTTTTGAATATGATGTTTTTGGGATTGATATCCAGCATTTTCACTCCATAAATAATTTTTTTTCACCAAATATTCCTCATAAATGAACTGAGAGTATTGCTGATACTAGTAGGCTATCAATGCTTTAGCCATATCATCAGTCAACAGCACCATAATTATTGCCAGCACTATTCAAAGTTTCTTTACACTGTCAATAGTTAAAAAATTATTAATGCTATCGATAGAACATTTACTGACAATTTTTCATCACTAGTGCCTGTATAAAAGGGTGGTGGCCAGAGCCTGCCGTTTTTATTGCAATAGAAAGTATATGGACACTCTCAGCTAATTTTGGCGTTGCAGTAATGTCCCGGATATGTATATGTACATCTAAAAAAGGCATAAAGAAAAATAAATTGGTAGAAAAAAGTTTCAAAGCAACATAACAGGGGATTCGAACCAGCGACCCTTTGCTCAGCAGCCCACTGCGCTAACCAACACAGCCACTCGCCATGCTTATGCTGTTGATATAATGGTGAGCTTTTGATATGCACCATTTACCATTCGTGGCAAACAGATCTCAAAACAGCTTTAACGTGTTTTCTATCACAAACTGTTTTACATTTTCTTTCAAATTAAAAACTTCCTTTGAGAAGCGCAAGAAAAAGTGGCCCCCTTCTGTACCACTCACGATATAGAAGAAGGAAAAAAAAGAACACAGGGCACACTTCGTGTCAGACACCACCAGGATGGCAGGAGATGCGGAGGGGTAATTCCATGTGCCCCAGTTAAAAAAAGAAATCACACAACATCACTTTCTGCATTGTGACCATTTCCGCATGTTCCACACATAAAAACACGTAACAACTATGACGGTTGTTAATCAACACTTGTCCTGTGTATACCTATGTTTTCTTTTTGAGCGTCCTTCTTTGTGCTGCAGCAGCATGCTGAAGTATTGAGCTGCTTGTCATTCTTCATGTGATTTTCTAATTTCTAGCTATCGCATTCACTGCTTCGTCTTAGTGGCGAAACTGAAACTGAGTGGCGAAACATTCACTGCTTCGTCTTAGTGGCGAAACCGCATCGCGCCATCTGTTGTAAGGGAGGCGAAGCAACACCTATGCATTGCCACGTGAGCAGACGCTCTGCAAATCAAATGCGAAACTGCACAACTCGAGTCCGGCTGTAAGGATGTTTCGTGCTCTTCCTGTCCTGGAATTTCGTGCTAATTTTCCGTGAAACGTCTTCTTGACAGTCCTGAATGTCTACAACATGTGTATTGCAGACTTCAGAAGCAACTTCATCAGGTACATACTATTGCGATTGAAAGAAACACGAACCGCGGAAAGCGTTGCCTTCGACTCAGTCGCACTGCAGCGTGCCTTGGCTGTGGCAAGGCAGAATTTGTGCTGTAAGTCAGCATCAACGTAGCGCTAGAATCTCGCTCCAACTTGCACTCATCCACTACATGTGTTTATCATATGCCACTCATGCCGGGCACTCGGAACACACACGCGTTGCGAAAGTGCCAACCAGAACAAGACTTTAAAATGCTACGGTGACACCGACCGAAAGCACAGATTCACCTAGTGAGTCAAGACTTGCCGCAGTTCGATTGAGACGAAAGCTATGCATTTCGCGCCGTTCGCGTCTCTTTGGATCGCTATAGCACGCTGTCGCAATTGTATACGTGAGCGGTGCTTGCATCCACGCGTGAATCGTAATATATTCTATTACTGGCATGCAGCCTGCGAAAAAGTACGGCAATGATTTGGTGCCGCATACTATACAGGCATACTGCACACAAAACGCTGCTGTAAAGTGAAACAGCTGGCGTCGCGCTTAAGTAAACGCAATAATTATATTTACTCGTACACTTTTACTGGACTCTTAGTTTTTCCCGCCGATTGTGATTATATCTATTGGCAGCGGAGCTGGGCGTTTTTCATTGCGGATGGAAATCTGTGCAATCAGGATGCACCACACCGGCACAATCGTTGCATCATGTTGGTATCTTCACAGACAGTGCTTAGCAATATCTCACTCTTGTTCTGGTTGTTATTGCATCCGAAGACAGCGCAGTGGTACCCAGATGACTTCTTATAAGCTAGCGCAGCATGAACAGGCACTTTTTTCACATTTCAAAGTCCCAGAGCCACTGCAAGCCATGCTAGCAAGGCACGCCCTGCCTTGGCAGATCAAAACAAATTATGGCATCTCTGGGAGCAAGGGTATATCACCGAAGGCGCCTGGGTGCGAGATAGGCATGCTCTCGTGTATAAGCTGAACGAATGGCATGAGCACCTTCAGTCTCCCAAAAATGTAAAACTCTGGCAGTTCAATTGTGCAGTGCACTTAAGTGCCCATAGTATTCAAAATAAAAATAAGGCATAGTCATAAAAAGCTAGAACAGAAAAACATACAACAATACGAAAAAATAACAGCAAGATCCACAATAGTAAATCCATTACAAAGACACATTAAAGGAGCCCTGAAAAACTTTTTTCAATTTCAAGTAACCACAGAATGAATTCCGTGGAAGAGCTTATTGCCTCATGAACTCAATGCCGCAAATATTTTAAGAATCCGTCCAGTGCGAGTGGAGTTGCAAAGATTTGTCGCATGCTGCAATTGTATTCTCTCTTCTCTCATCCCAAAGAAAGCGCTGAAAGCTAAGCAGGGAGAGATAGCAGGGGCAAAAAAACTACGTCACTCGCACCTCGTGACTTTGAGCACATTTTTCTTTTTTTTTTTTCTTCGAATGCGCGGCTTCTTCAGTGTGATCGTGCACGCACGCGTGGACAAGTCGCAGCCCTCTTCCGCGATCTCTCTCACGACCGAGCGCGCTATGTTCAAATCAGCCAATGGCTGATGAATGGGCTTTTTACGAGTTATTTTTGAGCATCTTCCGTCATTTGTCGAGAAAAGACAAAGCAATCTTTAGCTGACTTTCACACTTTATTGTGAATTTCTGGCCGCGTGCTGCGCTATAATATTTGGCTCGCATGTTGTCGGGAGCCTCTACTACCGATCGGCAATGTTTTCTGACTATGCTCAAAAAGTGTTGCAGGGCCCCTTTAAAAACAAAAGGTCACAATTTTGCCACTATGGCGATCAAATGAATGCAATAGCAAGAAGTTTCAATATCACCTGAATAATAACAAGCAGCTCGATACCTTCAGCTAGTTGTTGCAGTGCAAAGAAGGGCGCTAAAAAAGAACACATTCGTATACACAGGACAAGTATGAACCAGCAACCCTCATAGTTGTTACATGTTTGTATTTGAGAAACACACTGAAAATGTCCACAATGCAGAAGACGACGCTGTTTGATTTTTCTTTTAAACTGCAGCACGTGGATGACCCCTCTGCATCTCCTGTGACGCAGTGGCGTCTGACGTGAAGTGTGCCCCGTGTTCTTTGCTCTTTTTTTCCCTCTTCTACATCATGAGTGGTGCAGAAGGGAGCCACTTTTTCTGATACTTACCAAGGGCACTTTTAAAATTGAAAGAAAAATTTAAAAGCATTGGTGATAGAAAATATGCTCAAGCTATTTCGAGATCTGCGTACTGAGAGCGGTAAATGGTGTGTATGAATTGCTCGCCGTTATATCACCAGCACAGGCATGGCAAGTGGCTGTGTTGGTTTGTGCAGCGAGCCGAGGAGCGAGGGCTCACTGGTTCGAATCCCCAGTAAGCTGTCTTAGAGTTTTTTTATATATCCTCTTTTTTTTACATATACTTATATATAAGTACATATACACATCTGAGACTTGGCGGCAATGGCAAAAATCAGCCGAGGGTGTCGATATAATTGCTATTGAAATAAAATTAAAAAACTGCAATCAACATCACAGGTAGAGAGTGCAGTGTTTGCCTTACAGACTTAAGAACAGAGTAGTATGTATTTGATTGATGAGGAACAGGAGTGATTATCTTTGAATTGCATCAGATATTTTTAAGCAGTGTTTTAAATCAAATTAGGCTGACACTTTAAAGCTTCAACTTAAACACTAATTTAAACAAGATAGCCTTCACAAAGTGAAAAAACAACAACAAAAAACATGCAGTTTTTTCTGAATGAATCTTCCACAACAATGCTGTGATTGTTATATAAATTTGATGACTCCATAAATTTGACAGTAGTATTTCTGTTCAAAAATTTGTTCTCTCTGACTGCACTTTTTCAAATCCCTATGTGGTACATGAAACGCCTGCAGTTCTTCTTGTCCAATCAGGCTAATTGAGTGAGAAAGTGGTGATTGTTTTCTAAGTCTGCTTTGGAGACTATGAAAAGGCAATAATATAGCTGAAGTACTGGTAAATTATCACAACCACAATCATTACACAATTATTACAGACGTGTTTCAGCAATATTGCATGAAAGAAGTGTAGCATATGTAAGTTTGTAGAAATAGCAGATCCCAATACCAGATGATAATACACATGGAATAAAAAAAGGAAAGTCATAAATAAAACAAATTTAGTGATGCCGGGGAAAGTCTTTTTTCATATAGGTTATCAGGCCTACAATACCAGAAAACTTATAGGCAACATAAGATAATATTTGAAATGCTAAAAAAATATTGCAGCATAACTTCAGGTCACTACAATTCCACGCATACTCTAGTCAAACACCTCTGCAATGAATACCTTGTCAATAAAATTCCTTCAATGATAAAAGATTGCTTATATCCAGGCTGTAACACCAGGTTATGGTGCGTAACTTTTACAATGAAGTGGCCTATATAATTAAATATTTCAACAGTCCTGAGCACTTCGTTATGAACACGTCTGAGTGCACATTTATGTGAAAGCATCCGTACTTTTTTTTTCTAAATGTATCCTCCAGCTATCAGTTAGGTAATGATTAAAAAATGCATTTGTACCCTATACAGGTGGAATGCCATTGCAGCTTTTTGTTTTGCCAGACTGCCTAGGCCCTTCCTTTTTTGTTTTTCAAACTGTAAAAATGATATTTGTAGATGTTTTAAGTCTCTTTCGGTTTTCAGTAGTTCCAAACAATAACTTCTTCCACCAGCTCTGTATTGGTCCTAAATGGGGGCAGCAGAAGCACAAATCTGTATGACTTACAGAAGTGAACACAATGGTAATTGGATCATCCATCCCAACTTTGTTTTCTGCCTCAGCTAAGTTGACATTTCCTCCTTGCAGAATGTCTCGCCAGTTGATGCAGCCTCTATATGAAAAATATGAAAAGAATAACAGCCTATATAAAGTAACATCTGACCAAAAAGAACTCAACCTGGAAAGAACAAGGCAGAACACATTTGCGCTTCTATATTTGCCAATATGTGCAACATAGAAGCAAATTGTTTCCTGTCACTGAGTTATGAAGCAGCAGTTTTACAAGATTCCAAAGTACCTAACAAAACAAACATAAATAGATTAACAAACAAAAGAACTCAGTATTTTCTTTCAAGTAACTATACATGTTGTGTTTCAGCCCCCTCCCCTCTTTTTATTTTTTTTATGGTTCCCATTTTCTTTCAGCCTTGTTTATAGAGGCAATCTTGGTGAATGACACATGAAGAGGCCTAAATTGCAAAAGTCAAAAGATGAGCTAGTTCAGCTATTTAGTACCTCAGTCACATGGTGATATATGAACTCTTTGAACTCTATAAATGTAAAACTCTATAGAGGAGTCGCACAGCGATGCCGCTGTGGCCATATCTCAGAGCCCTTTATTGCATCTATATCTGATAACAATGTTATGCACACTACTCTTCAGAGGTTTAGATGGTAGTATATGGAAAATATAAATTTAAATATAGTATATATAAATATAGTATAAATATAAATATAGTACATGGAAATTATAAATTCGGATGTAAGAATGTATGAGCACCTTTGTAAATAAACTTACAAATAATAATATATATCCACAATATACCACAAGTGGTCATTCAGAAAACTCAAAATTCGGTAATGATTTTGTAAGCCTTGTTTCTGTACAATATGCAAGGTACTACAAAGTACTTACGGCAATGCCTTGTCACTCTCCACAATTATTCCTTTTAGGAATGGATACCTGCAAGCAGTGAAATCGTACAGATCATGGACTAACAGCACATGAAGATGAGTACCTTAAGCCCACCCTAAAGGTAACAGCATTGGTACATACAATCTGTGACAAGGGGTTGAAGGGACTACACTGGTACATGCAATCTGTGACAAGGGGTTGAAAGGACTAACAACAAATTTTTACGGTATTTGTTTTCTTGAGTGTCAAGAAAACCTTACTGATCAGAGTGTCTTATAATGGGATGGGATGGAAGTGCAGAAAATGCCATGAAATGCCTTTCATCTGAATTTTTTTCTGTTGTGCTGATGAAGTAGTACATGCAATACATGCTACAAACAGTGATAGGCAAGTGCAATAGTGATTATGTGCTGGCATTGGAGGAAAGCAAACAAGTGAGGCCTTATCTATTAGAAATAATATTGTGTTTATCAAGACTATGCTGCTGCGATTTGTGTTCATGCACTGCAGCTTGAAGTAAACTTTCATTTCCACTCGTTTGTGAAGCCAACATTGCATCTCAACATCAACTACCTTTAGATCGATATAAGCCCAGAATGAAGTAGGGATGGCTAATAATACACACACTGTAATTTTAAGCATAAACTATGGTGCACCTCAACAACAACAGACTGTGTACCGCAATCCAAACCACTTAACACAGTTCCAAGGGTCTCCCATCAGCTAGCATGACATTCTAGTTTGTGTTACTATCAAAAACAATTTGAAAACACATTGTCAAAATATTGCTAGAATCTGTCACTATAATTCACATTCTTTTTACTTTAACTGGTAACTTAACCCATGTTAACTTATCACATGTTCTTTCCAGTTGCCAGTACCTTTCAAATTTCACCAGTGCATGGCGACTAGCTTGCACAGTGCTTGTGTTGTCTCTTTTTATGCAAGGACAAAGCCAAAATTGGCCATAATTCAATATTTTGAAGTTTCCAAACTTAAGAATATAGCATGAATTTTTTTTCCTTTTGACACAAGTTCTGAACAGTTGTACAACAGAACATAACGGTACAGTAAATGGACATCTTTCCCTTACCTTGTGCTAATCCTTGGTAGCTACAACGTAAAACTATTTCAACATTTTGTTTTCTAAATTCTTTATTAGCACTCCATGACTGAAAAAAATCTCGCAGGCGGTGCTTACTGCATCTATCCGATGCACAGTGCTATGAAACTCACAAAAATACCAGATCTCACATATCATCAGTATTTATGGACTGAAATGCGACTTTTTTTTTCTAGTATAACGACTGCTATGAGCAGCTGCTTGTGATAATTGTGTCATGTCGCTGCAAACTGGCTGATAAAGATGATGTTGATTTTGATCTAAGTGTTCAAAGTCAAAATTACACAGATATGATACAAACTGTACATGGTGGAAACAAGTACGTATGAGTATTACTTAGCTCTGATGTTTGTGTATAAATCCCAGGGTACTGTACAAATCGTATGTGCATTTAGGTAGAATAAATGCAAATAACTTACTTCAGCTACTGAATGCTCATCACCAGTACCCCTTATTTGCTATCCCAGATGAAAATTTTCAACTAGTTTTGAGCTGCTTTTGGCTGGAACCAGCTGGGACCCACTGGAAGCCAATGGGTAAGTTGGAAGCCAATGGGTACCAACTGCGTCCAGTTGGTCCCCAGAAAAACCCACTACAGTCTGGAAATGGAACCAGCTGTAACCAAACGGCCTTTAAATAGAATAACATAGGACGTGCTGGTTCAAAAACCAGCTAGAACCAGTTAGTTTGCAAATTAATCAAACCTAGTGGCCTGAAGCCAGAACGTACTAGCTGATATAGCAGGAACCTTTTGTTTGTGTAGAACCAGCTGCACCCCAGAATAACTGCACCCATGATTAAGTGCAGAACTTACAAGGTTTAACTTAAAAAAAAAAGAAATTAGCTTTTATAGGTGGTCTTCGAGTGCACAAGTCAGTCATGTAATGTAACACGAGCTTTGTTACATAATGAGAGAAAACGAAATTTAAGGCCTAGTCAGTTCAGATAGTTCTTTCACCGAAAATTCTTTCTTAGCCCTATGGTTAAGAAATAGAACACTGTCATAAACAGTACTTGCTTATATTGCATTAAGTTTTGCTGGAAGTCAAAACTTTCAGTTTGGCAGATAATATATCGTAAAATGCCAAGCAAGCGCCCCCTCCTGAGCAAGCACCCCCCTTTCTTTCTTCTTTGGGAGATCTGAAATGAACGCCAATGACCAAACAAGTGCGCTACCTCATCTGCCGCTACTTATTTTTCAAGGCGAGCATCGCTATTGTAAAAAAAAAACACAAGAATGAGTGCACTGAATGTGTATCTAATGTTTATGAAATGCTTCAAGAATAAAGCATTTCATTAGGAACATGGATGGGCATTTTTTATTTCTAGCATCTCTCTCGCCACCAATTTGAATTTTGGTCTGGGACCGAGCAAGTAGCCCCTTCCAAATTTGATCGTATTATCCTTCACCTCACCCTAGGAGTAGCATTTGCTCGGCATTTTACGGTATACAGACCAAGCTGTTTGTCTCCACAACTGAATTGTATGGGTCCTCAAAGTGACACATTTATACGTGTGCTTGTGGAATAGTTGGCTCATGCTTGTGTAGTGCACGTCCTTTGTCACTGGTATTTATATACTGGCACTGATCAGAGTTTGGTCAGGAGCCAACAGTCTTATTGGGACAAGCTGGCCACTGGTTTTAGCTGGGACCAGCAGGCAACTGGCTCCAGTAGTTCCATAACACAGTACAACTGGCTCCAGCTGGAACCAGCTAGATCCATTCAGAACTTTTTCACTTAAGTAAAGATGAGAAATTTTCTCGTTTTATTTGCAGTGCCTACATCTCACATGAGGTGCAAAGCAATGAAAAGTGGCCACGTCGAAGATGTGTACACTTCGTAGTGCATTGATATGCCAAACAAAGCTGCAACCTTTCTGGTATAGCTCGAGGATATCTCCATTTGAAAGAAATCGAACATGGCTCCCCCCATCAGTCATTCTGGTGCTAGCTACTTCTAGCATCTGGGAAGCTGAAATTGATTTATGTATAAGAAATGTCTTATGTGGCATATTAATACTTAGGAGCTATTTCTACATGTATGTGACACCACTCTGCCAACTCATGTTAACTCTTTAAGAATGTGTTATATCTAACATCTAAAGTGCAAACCACCCCAAAATCAAAGGAAAGTCGACAAATCTCATCTCGCACACTCATCTTACACTCATATTCTAGTATCAACTGGATATATAAAGAAATCATGTCAGAGCAAGTAATGCAATTCTTTTCCAAAAAAAAAAAAAAAAAGAGGGATCTCCTTATACAAGATGAACATTTGATTGGGCTGCTCAGAAAAAGTTGCAGCTTCCCACTTATGCTTGCATCTACAGTGACATAAGTTTGATGTCAAGACATTAAGAATATAAGCAGAATGTAATAATTTTACACTACAACACCTCTCACAACTTTCTCTCGATAGACTTGACTCTTTGCAAAAAGCCTGACCCCAGTGGAGCTAAGCTGCCACCGAACAAGAGCCTAACAACGTGCTTTTCGTTGTCGCCCACAAGGCCTATCATTTCAAAGGTGACATTCTATCAAAAGCAAATGAGATGCAGATTAGGTCTTCCCCACCCTCCCACCAGGGCACAAAAGGCCACTCCTCGTAAAGTATGGGCTTGAACTGTGCAGGTACCTATGTTAAAAGAATCATTGGCAGGGTTTTCATCAGCCAAACTAGTGGCACAACACAACTACGGTGTCATCAGCTGCCAAACATGTGGGAAAACATGTGACTCTGGTCAATCGATCCGGAGTGAATAGTCCAGCATTTTTGTGTAGTAAGGCTATATGTAAGGAGCAGCTAAGTCGCAAAGAAGATTGTTACCTCTCTTGATGTTGAGTTGACTGTTAACAATCTCATTTTGTACATACCTGGTCCTAAATGCAAAATGATTGTGAAATAAAGTTTTAGAGCTAGGCCTTATCTGATACCTGCACAGTCATCCTCGTTGGGCCCTTGGAATGAGTAACAATTCACTAGCACGCTACCACCCGGAACCATTGAACGCCCTGCTAGTGACAGTGAGCACTGAGAGTCCCAACACTCTCTAGGTCTCCAAAAAACCTCACACTGAGACCTGTTAAGGTACTGCATGCTTTTCCCACTGATAGTGAGTACGATGGTACTTTCAGCTACAATGTGCTGGCTTTCACTTTTAATGAATGTGATAGCTTGGTACAAAACCATTTAAAAATTAAATATAGTACATAAAATTCATTGCAGTACACTGAGCATAGAAAATAGTAGAAAGAGCAATAATATAAAACTAAAACTATAAAATAACTATAAAATAATATATCTTAAATAGTACTAAGCATTGTTGGCTGCCTACAATATGTGGTAGGTAAGAGTTCAATAAGTCCCCTAAAGTTTTTGTTTATATATCTAACAAAACTCAAATTCGAAGCTATGACAAGTTTCATCAACTTACTTCAACATTGGAACTTGTTCTTATGTGGCTTCTGTGAACCTCTCTACATGATTTAGTATAAGAACATGTTTTTATGCTTCTTTTTTTCCTTAATTTATTATGATGATGCAATGTCTTGCTTGCCTCCTCTATAACCACTGGGTACAACAAAAATATATGCTTTAAAGTAATAGAAACTATTAAAATATTGACTCTTATTAGCACCTGCATTCTAAATTGACTACTATTAAAAAAGCTTGAATAAAAACCCGATGGTATTCTATTATAGCACTCCACACTGTTGGGGCACTACTTTATCATGATTTTGAGCAGGCACTTCAAAGTGACACTAAAATTTATACTAATTAACAATCATAGTACTAATTATTCATTATATTAGGGCATTTACAATCCAACTTTCTCATTACCAGATTCAGAGTGTAGAGCCTTATGATGGGATGCGCTCTCAGAACACATGGAGACCGTCACACCCTCGAGTGACAAATACATGACATACTACATTTATAAACATCTTTTCCATCACGGCAAGCTTGCCAGCCAAATCTAATACATATCTGGTAACACACTAAACAACCAGATTAACCGCAAAAAACGTCATTCAACACGTACTGCCAAACCCCAAGGAAACTCACTGCTGTTCTCTCTGCACCGACCTAATCTCTCTCCTGCCAGGAAACACTGATGGCACCACCATACTAACCACACCACACTAATCACCACAGCGCCACCTCGCACTCAGCGGCTGTTAAAGGTAACTGCAACTAATCTGCAAGATGCCCATGCGCCATGACGCACAAACTTCACACGGGGTGATAGCATAGGATCTACTCATTCATGCATAAAAGTAAAAAAAAAAATTGGCTATGAGGCTTCACTAAGCAAGCAAAAAATTAAAAAAAAGTAATGAATGAAACAGCCCACAATGTACATACTATCAGAAAAGTTCACCTAAATGTCACATGGAGATCATGAGATGATAGTGAAATACATCTTTATTGTTGCCTTCTTTTCATGTAAGAATACAATGGAAAAGCAAAAAGACGTCTTTCACCAGCTTTGAGAGAATCACAATAGCAGACATCTATGGGCCATACAAGTTACAGATGCCCAAGGCTTGATAGAAGTTATGTTTTCTGAAGCTACAATCATGGTTTTAGATGTGATATTAATTAAATTATTTTCTTGGGGGCAGAGAAGGGGGTTTTTGATTGCATTTAGCTTTCAAGTGTTCGGCATACAAAAGTAGAATGCCTGGGCATTATTATTATTATTTCAAATAAGTAACCGTAACAGACATTCTTTGCTTGCCTGTTCCCCTTATAGCCTTACAACACTTCATTTTCTTCTATATATCAGCAATTCCTTAAAAATTCGTGCAGCAGAACACTTTCTAGATAACATTTAGCAACATCTTCTATAAAACTGACTTTTCTGATGCCTGGTGGCAAGATTTTCATTTAATTACACATTGACTATAACTGTCAATATTCCATGAGGAATATTAGAGCTTGCCTCACTTCTTAGAGTTCAGCTGGCCAGGACTGGACTCCTTTAGCTCAGGTATCAAGGAGCAAAGCATCTCGTAGTACTTGAGAATCTTGAATGATTCTGGAATATATATGCCTGCAAAACGAACCTGTGCAAGAAAAATGAATAAATATAAGCTTTTCACTATACAAATAAATGCATTTTACATTATCATACTATTTCATCAAGAGTACAGCGTACAATATTACAGAGGTACAATACAAGTTACTCGTTTTAAGGCACTGCAGTATATCTGTCCCACTAATAGTTTGTAGACGTCTAAGCAAAATCCTTCTTTATCACAATCTTCTTTAGCACTGTATTCCTTCTAATGTTTAACCAACACACCCAAGCTTTGATGCTAAGTGAGGTTATAGCCTCACGAATGTGCTACCGCAAAAAATTTTAGAATTCATCAAGTAGTACTAGTGTAGTTACAGAACTTTGTTGCACACTTTAAGTGCCTTCTCTCTCCTTTTATCCCAGCGAGTGCAATGGAAGAGGGGATGACAAAAAGGCAAAAGCTACATTCGTACGTCAGCATGAGTCATGACCTTGAGCTTTTGTTTACCTTGAACACCCACGACCAACATATGAGCATTGTACGTGGCTAACCAGTACTGTGGCACACCATAATGTGCCGCAGTACATGCACGTCACAGCACGCCATAGCAGCAGCGATTGCTATGCAGCTCAGCATGTTTGTCGTTAATACATTTATTGATATTTTATGTAAACACTACTTCAATGTAAACATTAATTCAAAAGCTTTGGTGCAACACCGAAATTAAGGGGCAATACACAATGGTTTGTGTCCCTAAAGTAGATTTCAGTGATAAGCACCAAAATTAATACCCAAACTATGCACAGCTGTACTACCCTAACAAAACACAGTTCCTCCAACCAATTTTCTACAATCTGCAACTCTCGTTTGCCTCAGCACCAATTTGTGCAGGTCAACCATTGTGCCTAGAAGCCCAAGCCTGGTAAGTGGTCTGGGAAGTTGCATGACTGGAAAGTTGTCTGTGCTATAACCTCTTGTAAGAGCACATTCAATTTCAAATTTATGTTTGGTCACTTTTTCAAAACTTTCAGTTCTAATGTGTCTTTTCATGCTTTTGTGCTGCAAATAGTGCAATTTGCCTGTAAGTGTGTCCGTGCTTATGTCCGTCCATATATTTGTCTGTCTCTCCGTCTGTTTGTCTGTCTGTCCATCCAAGCGTCAGTCTGTCCATATGCTGAACACTTCAAGTACCGCCATCTCACTTCTTTTTATTATATATTCACCATATACAAGTACCACCATCCAGCAGACAATCCAAGGACTAAACGATAGTATGTACCACATTTCTGCTGTCAGCGCTTTGTTAACACAGAGAGCATGATAATGACACCGTGCTATGTTTTTCGTAACATGAGAACATGAAGATATGTGCCCGAGGGCGGGTATGTGCCACTGTTATGCGGGTGGCTACGTACTACTACTACAACTACATACATCAAAGGATGTACAGACCCCCACGATAAGGAGCTTCACGCCTAAAATGCTTAATGTGTTGTTGCTATGGCTGATTTAATGTGGTCTATGGCAACACCAGCGTTCGTAGTACGTTGAGTTTGCTTGCCCGGGAAAAACGTGGCATGCGCTTTCAGCTTTAGTTCCCCCTGTGGCACAGTCGCATTTGCTGACTGGGAAATTCCTATTTTCCGTGAAGCATTGGTGGTTACAAATGCCTCTTTGTCTTGAAGTTCCATCAGCTAATTCAGCGGTTCTCAGTCATGGATGTGTCGGGGACCCCTTGTGGACTGCTGAAAGTTATGGGGGACCCCTTGCAGCGGAGGGGAGGAAGGCGAGAGGGGTACATAGGTAAATTAACACAACTGGAGCGTAAAACTGGTGCCTTTTATCGCTACTAAAAGCATCAAGCAAACGTGACACATCCCTTCATTTTGGACAGTTCATCAATACGGCACAGTCACACTTAAAAATAAAAATTCGCATGAGGGTTTCGGGAATTATAGAAATGACTTCACGGACCCCCCTTTGAGAACCACTAATCTAATTGATAGATACCCACTGTGGCCAGCGGACTGATGTGCATGTGGTGTTGTTACTTTATCGGGTCGATCCCGTTTCGCAAGTGTCCGCAACTAAAGTATGCCAAAGAGTATATATCTAACACTGTGGTTTAGGGTTAAGGTCTGCTGGCCTGGATTAGATTGGGTGACGACGCGTATACTGCAGGTGGCCAATGTGGCCTCTATTTCTTGCTAAAATTAGTGCAATTGAGAAAATTTGAGGCTGGTCGGGTGTTCTGGCACAATGTGGTCCAATTTCAGCAAACTTTATGATTTTCTCTCAGCTCACCGTAAAAATAGTGAATTGTGTCAAACTGGTGCAATTGATCCAGCTGTTGCACCCGTTCAAATACAGTAAAACCCAGATATACTGGATCTCAAGGGGATTAAAATGACTTCCATATATCATCATCATCATCATCAGCCTGACTATGTCCGCTGAAAGACAAAGGCCTCTCCCATGTTCTGCCAGTCAACTCGGTCCTGTGCTTCCTACAGCCACTTTACACCCGCAAACTTCCTAATCTCATCTGCCCATCTAACTTTATGTTTCCCCCTAGCCCGCTTGCCTCCTCTGAGAATCCAGTCAGTTACCCTTAATGGCCAACGGTTATCCTGCCTACGCACTACACGCCCGGCCCATGTCAATTTCTTCTTTTTGATTTCAACTATAATATCCTTAACCCCGGTTTGTTCCCTGATCCACTCTGCTCTCTTCATGTCTCTTGAGGCTACACCTATCATTTTTTTTTCCATCGCTTGCTGCGTTGTCCCCAATTTAGGCTGAACCCTCTATATAAGGCTTCTATATATATATATATAGGCAATTCAATATACAAAATATTCCACATATCAAAAATACATTGAAGTCACTTATACACCAGCTCATTATACACAATTCATTAAATGTTGGTTCAGTATGTATGGGTTTCAATGTAAAGACTTCAGAAAATCACAAAAGGTTAAAAAGGAAGTGTATCTACAAAAATTAGGCTTAGACCTGCCAAGTTTCTGCAGGCATGACATTGTTCCCACTGTTCAGCGATGTCAAATGAATCTTATGCTCTAATGTTTGTAGCACAGAAGCAGAACCCGAATCAGCAACATTAATTAAACATTTTGCTCCATTAATGAGAAATGCATGTGTTTATTCAGAAGTGTGAGAGAGTGAAAAAAGATGAATATGTACAGACAAGTAAACCATGGGCATTACAAAGAAGACCTTTATATGTGGATAGGCTGCTACGCATCCATCAGGGAAGAAATTCGGCAGATCCCACGCCTCATGAGAATTGGTTTCATGTAAAGCAGCCAGTGAGTAATTGTTGCTTGTTTCGGCTATGAGGCAAGTGTTATGAGGTAGATCGGCATTGAGTGCAGTAGTTGCGTGCTCATAGTAGGCTTAGCAAGAATGTCCACTACACTGGCATCTACTGGTGACTACACTGGATAATGTATGGTCTGACATAACGTCAACCCTCACGTTAGAACACAGGTGTCACTATTACAAAGTGCACTTCACGAAGTGACTATGTGAAGATCACCCAAATTTTTGTTAGCATATTACCCAGGTCTTGAGTAATGTTCGAAGATAGCTTGCTTGCTGACTTCACGGAGTGACTACGTGAAGATCACCCAAACTTTTGTTAGCATATTACCCAGGGCTTGAGTAATGTTCGAAGATAGCTTGCTGAATCATAGAAATCCCAAATTTAATGTTTACAGACTGGTATAAATGTGGAGTCAATGTTGGGACCACAAGTGATGTTAACTCAGCATGACATCTGTATCATAGGTTTACATATGCAATGTTTATAGCTTTGTTATAAAATTGAATACTGCAACCAAAATTGAAGTTGTATCGACGTTATGCCAGCACAGTGTCTTTTTCTAAAAGAGTTTCAATACCAGGCATGGCTCAGTGGCAGAATTCTTTATTGCCACACAGAATGCTCGGGTTCAATTCCTGGCGAGATGCTGATTTTTCATCTTTGCATTCGTTGGGTCAATGTTGCCAATGTGAGTTTCTCTAAATGCTGTCATACTTAAGTTACTAATGTCTGTCTTCACTGCTCCGGAGTAGATATAAACTGTCAATCAGTCATGAGGCATACCCAATGGGGCCACAAAAATCTGGTGGACATTCCAGTGATAGCCGAACGTTCACGTCCGGAGCCGGTTATATAAGAGACAACCTATGGCTGTTGTATTTCAGTTGTTCTTTATGTTCGTTTTGTTTTTTGTCTGGAACATCCAAAGGATATTTACAAAGGATTTCATTGAACGCAATAGTTTGGATAGCAGATAGACATTCACAAGATATCCCGAGAAATAAAACTTTAAAGACTTTTTGAAACGGCCACAAACAGCTATATATGTCTTGGTCTAAGAAAAGACCTAGAACAGACCTTTTCAAAAGGGAAAAATAGCACCTCAAATGTGCACACTTGCAGTTTATTAGTATATTTTAAAAACTCCAACAAAGCCTGATCTGCCCAACAAGTTCATAACGTGTACTTCAAGAGATTGTTTAGGCACTATAGAGAGCCAGCGTTCAATGTCCACCTAAATGATTCTGAGAAGGTTGTTTCGAGAAAGTGGCGAAATTCCCAAACGTCATGCCAGAACAGCGGTGACCGTCGGTTTTAACTTGACGCAATTATTAACAGCTTCCCCAAAATAATTGATTTGACACTGCACGCACGAGAGTACAGCTGACCCCTTCTTTAACCTGAATGTGTGAGCGACGACAGCCAAATAATTAATTCGCTATTCCCGTTCTCCTGTTGTCCGGATCCCAGAACAGCCTAAGAGACGATAGATAAAGACTGCTAAGAGCGGACATGGGTGTATTGTCGTTATATAATTTTGCCGCTGTACTCAATTAATAAGGCTCTCATAGACTGGGTGGTCAATGCTAGTGCATTCAGGCTTTAAAAAATGGGTGGCTGTACATACATGTGGCATATGTATGTACAGCTATACATGTTCAAGCCAAGGTGCTTGAACAAAGACGCTTGCAGCAACAAGCTCCCCCAACTGCGACCGATACAGTAACAGGTGCGACACATGAGCAAAATGCAGGCGCTCATTGGCGCGCATGCCAGCTCGCATCAGCTTCGGGCACTTCGTGGCTTCGGGTAAGCGGTAACGCAGTACAATTTCACGCATGTTGGAACTTGCACGACCGTTTCTTTTATCCAGCGGCCCTTAAACTTGTCCTCCTCCCGCAACAATGCGAGGTAGCTCGACCAGCAGGCGGGCGGTCATCGCTTGGCGTGTTCGGCTGCATGTATGTATTTTTGAAGTCAGCTGTTATCCGGAGTCAAGTATAACAGTCCGCATCCTGTTTTTCAGATACTTTGCATCAGTGTTTTGTGAAACAAGTTCTACTGTGTGCTTTCGCTGATGGTTCATTTCACTCCAAAGGGCCTGATCTGCTCGTCACCTTCGTTACCGATCTAGGATGCAGCTAAAACGTCGCCCATTCGGATAACGTAGTGCCTCTAACTTTTTATCTTTTCGTCACAGGAACATTTTAAAATTGTATTTAAAGCGATAAGTATGACAGTTGTTTGCTGATGGTTGAATCTTGGTCGTATGCGTAGCTATAGAACACAAACTAGTGCGAATCGTAAGCTAGACTGACTCGACCTGGTTTGGATATTTTGCTTTTCTGTGGGTTACAGCTCACATTTGTGGGCATGTGCATGAGAGCGACAAGCCGACATACTTGTAGGCAAGCATGCTTACAACTATACCAGCCAGTCGCAGATGAAGTGCAACATTTCTACTATATATCCGTCTCACCTGATGAGTGCAGTTATGATTGATTGTTATTTACAAATACATGACAGCATTTTATCAGATCTGTAATTGGAAATCTGTCTTATGTTTTCGAACTCATACTCGCTTACTTACTTTTTCTTGTATGCAGCTTTTCTTCACTGCTGTTTGTGCAAGACATTGGGCCTGGGACCGCACCTGCTAACGCAACCGCCAGTGCACTTTCTTTGATGGGACCCGGAGTGCATCATATGATCGTCATTGTTCATGAAATTTCATGTTGAAGCTTATATTGTTTTCGAAAGTCATTTGACATTTTTAATTAAATAAATATTGACTGCAGTACCCTACACTATCTGCCACGTCCTGTTTGCTTGATATCTTATAGTTGCAGAATACTACATAAGTTCATTTGTCAGAAAAGTGAGGCAAGTTGATGCTACCAAAGCATTAAACCTGGCAGGGGCGTGAGAGGAAGTGTGTTTGGGGGGGTGGCCATTTTACGTTATCTATGCCATGGCGAAAAAATATTTGAAGGGGACACGAGTCGGATGTGCCAAACCCTGGCTATGCTTCTGTACCAAGGAGCACTTTCATTAAAGGTGCGAACTTGTTTGCGTACTATAAAAAAAACGTTCGCTCCTGTCATGCACAAAAACTCGAGGCTTGCGTAAACATAGTGCGTACGCAACACCCTCAACCAATCGCATGGACAAACATTGTGTTAAAGAGTTTTAGTGCCGCTATACTTACAAATTGCCTGCATACGCACGCTGTCATGTTTGTTTGTACTCACCGCTGCACCCTTGGAGAATAAAAAGAAACACAGGCACTCACATACGCAAGTCCCATGGAGCCCCATTACTAAAACTCTCTATTGTGAAGCCTCATATAAAGCAATGCATGTCCGGTAATTTCAGCGATATTCCCAGGTACGTCCAGTGTACGTACTGAAAGGGCTAACTGCAGATTCGTCCTGTGTCCAAATGTACGGTTTTTGTCACTCAATGAACATTTTTTTGTGCATAAAGGTCCTACAGATGACTGTAGTGCAGCTGGTGGATTTCTGGGGATCTCCATCGGACGTACAAAAGTCCAAAACTGGCATACCGGTGGATGTCCACCAAATTTTTATGGCCCATTGGGTATACCTGCGTACCTCGGCTTGCGGTATTTGGGTATTTGCTCCATGTGTCCGCAGGAAAGAGTGACTATGTACGTGATAGGATTTTCATGTTGTCCATGTCCTGATCAGACAGTCATTACCCTCAAACCCTCTTACCCTCCACTACCAATTTTGGTCGACAAATTAACAGGGGATTATGAAAGCGGACGGGCGGGTGCACATGCACGCGTGCACACACACAGACACACATATATACACACATGGAGAGACAGAGAGGGACAGACATTTAGATAGATAGAAACACTCAAAGTGCCTGCAGTTCACCATGAAAATTTCCAACCACAACACCACAACAGCTGAATGATTAACCCATGCCGAACTGAATAAACTGAACAAGAATGATTATTTACAGTTGTGACAACTATACACCTGCCTTAACCAATACTTCTGGTGATGGACAAGCAGTCGCATGAACATCAGGGAACTCATTTCTGTCTACCCTTGCATGTCAGTCAAGAGTTCATACTACTATTGTACAAATAAAGGTTATTACTATTATTATTAAATATTTAAACAAAGAAACCAGCAGGAGGTGACTAACCTTTGTCAGTACTTTCTCAAACTCTGTTGCAGTATAAGCAGGATGAACACAAGCCTGAAAAATAAACAAATGATAACACACAATATAAATGACACATGATACATTTCTATTATAACACATCATTCTTAAAGTCAAAAACAGAATTCAGTGCAATACATAAAAACTTAACCTTCAATGTTATCTATCACATGGCCAGCAGTTTTTGCTCTACACTACCTTCACGCAGTGCTAGCTAATTAAGCTTATAAGAAGGCTCATCAACATGTGCAACTGGCACCAGTCGCACAACCATTTGCAACTGGCTAATGAAAATCAACGCAAGTCAACTGATGTTCCCACCTGCATGCGACTTATCGCAGTCACCACGCAGAATTAACATCTGCTTGCATATTGCTTGCATTGCCATTGCTCCATAAAATAAGCTGAGGTTTTGTTCCTGCACATGTGATTGGTGTAGAGGTTTGTGGCTGTAGTCACACACAATTGAAAAATGTAGCAGCGAGAACTCGTGCCAAAGTAGTCACTTTGTGATCAAATCGGCCATTTGCAACCATTTGCAACTAACTAGGTCATGCAACCAGTTCTAATTGCAGATGTGAACGAGCCTCAAGAGCTTTAGATGCACCAGCTGTCCAAGTCGCACAACACACACTCAAATATCGCTACACAGAAATAATGAAGAGAAAAATAACAGAGTTCACCTCTATGAACAGTATTGAATAAATTGTCGGCAACACTTCATCCGACTCTTTACAACAGGGATTTAACTGAAAATATATGCAGTGGGTTATCCCATCCCCAATAGCACCAAAATGCCATTAAGAGACCCATTATAGTTGAACAGACAGAAAATTTGGAGAGTGTATTGGACATGTCAGTGGTTATTTGTATGCAAAACCATGCATACTTAGGGCACTTAGGTGCATGGTGCGAAATTACCAAAGTTACGCTATATGAACTTTGGAGTGTCGCTTTGAAAGTAATCAGACATTTCGTTACAAAACTTGAAAGGAATAAAATATGTCTTCCAAAGCACAAGCTTCACATAAAGTGACTAAATTATCAAGCTTTAATGCCAAAACCAGAACATGGTTATGAGGCACACCATAGAGGAAGACTTTAGATTCATTTTCACCATCTGGTGTTCCTTAATGTTGATAACTTAAAACTTGATAACTCTGATATTGATACAAGTTTCATTTTCACCGAGCAAAAATGAAAGTTGCATCACTTGTTCACTGGGCTGGTTGTCTGGTAGCAAAAGATGGGTATAGTGAATGCTGCATCACAAACCATTCTGGGAGGCGGACAGTTTGAATTGTGGTAAACATATGCCTAGCATCAGAACGAGACTTTCTTTTAAACTGCATAGAACGAGACTTTCTTTTAAACTAAGCATTTTTTTGGCACAAAACAAGCAATGTGAGGTATAACTTTTAAAGTGTTAACTTGAAAGCTTTCATTGTAAGTAGTTATACATTTGATAATGCTAGCACAGCATCTATGGCTTGTCGTTGCACAAATAGACAATGAGGGGTGCATGAACTAATTTTTAAATGAAATTCTACAGCAACCAAAATGGCCTTTCTGTAAGGAAAACATTCCAAGACTACAACAAGCAGAGTGCCAGGTGCTCTTACTATTCTATCTTAAGCTCTTACATAACCAGAATATGTGGTTACAATCTAGCGAGATTCAGCATATTTGCTGGGTGCATGCAGTATCAGTATGACCGCAGATGGACAGTGCTTCCCCTTATTCATACTTGTGACTAAGCATAGAAGACTTTGCTGTCAACAAAGAATACAGTGCATCTGTGTACACTCCTCCCTGTCTCAGGCTCTCTGTTTACTATCTTATAACAGCAATCTTCCATCTGATTGGATCTAATGTCTTCATTTGCTTGCCTTTTATTACGATGAGTCTCATTTCTTTCTGTTTACAATGTTAGCAAAAATAAATAAGCAAGAAATAAACATCTTTTCATGCCACAAACTGTTTCAAACTGCTGTAGTATTACTTTTTGCAAAAAATAACAGACCCCATACTCCCTGATATAAGCTTGACATTCTGTATTGTCACTGTACAGCCATAACTTTAAGGCAGCAGAACAAATATTAAAGTTCTTGTGTTTAAAGGCTCTTTTTAAGCAAGCGGAATTGGGTAGCAATAAATAGTTAAGCAACAACTGTCTGTAGCATAGCCTGTAGACACTAAAGGGTCCCTGAAATACTTTTTCAAGTAACCATGGAATGGATTCACTACAAAAACTTATTGCCTTACGAATTTAACACCGCAAAATTTTAGGAATGCGTCCAGTACGAGAGGTTACAAAGATTTGTCGCACGGTGACAAAATGGCTGGAAACTAAGCAGGGAGGGATGACAGGGGAAAAAAAACACCACGCGCGCCTTGTGACCTTGAGCACTGTTTTCTTTTTTCTTCGAATACGCAACTTTTTCAGTGTGTGTTGGACAAGTCGCGGCCTCCCGCGGTGATTCCTGTAACGACCGAGCTCGCCATATTCAAATCAGCCAATGGCTGATGCATGGCCTTCTATGAGTGATTCTTGAGCGTCTTCCATCATTTGTCTAGAGAAGAGCAAGCAATATTTAGCTGACTTTGATAAATTATTATGAATTCCATGCCACGTCCTGCACTATAATATTTAGCTGGTGTGTTATCAAAAGCTCCTACTACCAATCAGCAGCGTTTTCTGACCACGCTCAAAAAGTGTTGCAGGGCTCCTTTAAGCACAAGTCTGAAAGATGCAGCACATGATTACAGATTAGTGCAGTACTTACGGACAGGATTCCAATCTTTGCCATAGCCCCATAAAGAACTACCCAGTTATATGAATTAGGAGCCCAGATAGCAATTGTGTCTCCTTTGGTGAAACCAGCAGCCAGCAATCCTTTGCAAACAGTGTCCACCTATTAAAATTAGGCAAAATAAAGAAAAGAAAAAATGCATATTTTTTTATCAAATACAAAAATCGAAGATTCACTTTTACAACGGCTCTGGGAAGTCATATTTACAAGACAAGCTGCCTTTCAGCATTTATAAAAGGCGCAGCAAACTGTGATGGCTATGCCACCAATGATTGTCGTTAAATTACTTGTTGTGCACACTTCCCCAGCAGTCACATGAATCTTCATGTCTTCCTATGTGCACTGAATCTTTAAAGGTTCAAATCTCAATGAAGGGGCAAAATCACAGCCAAGGAGGCACGTTTTTTTTATGTGGAAGAGGGATCAGACAGTCATCAGTAAACAAACCTAAAGGGTGCTTGTAACATTAGAACGTCAACAAAAAAGTACACTGTCAGAATTCAGTTCCTGAGGGCTTTCTGTTCATACATTAAGAAGGTTTCGTTTCCTGATGTCATTTGGATTGATGGTTTCATAAACAGTCAATTCAGATACTAACTTGAGCGAATAAACTACATAGTCCACAGCTCTTCACCTACATGCAGTTCCAGTGCTATTATGAATGTTTATACCATATGCACGAACTAAGTATATGTCTCAGAAATACGATTTCATGTCAGTATGTAGATCAAGTGGATTGATTACACAGAAGAACATAAAAACGTGACAAATAAAAAAGGTGAACATGCATGGGGTTTCACTGAACTGTATGCATGTATCGGCTACAACATTGATCTATGATTTGTTCTACACAGTCACCCCTCTTCTTTTTCTGTAAGTTGAATTAGGTGGCCATCTAAATATAAGCTGTTAGTAATAATCAGACAAGACTATAAAGGTAAATGATTTGTAGAGACGCAGACAAAGCATGCAGCTGAGTCAAAGTAAGCATTTATAATAATAATTGATGGGGCTTATAGTCCGAAAACGAGGACATGATTATGAGGGCTGTCGTAGTGAAGGGCTCGAGAAATTTAGTCCATTTGAGGTTCTTGAACGTGCGCTTAAACCTAAGAACATGTGCCTCAAGCATTTTCACCTTCATTGAAACTGTGGTCACTGTGGTAAAGTATACGTTTAGTATACAGGCAATAGCTTCCAAGTAAAACAATGAAATATAATTAACTGACAGAATGCAAATTAAGCTAAATGCAAAAAATCATGCTATGATGATGCTAGCATGTAATCACAACAATATAAAAAATTATACTTCATGTTGCTTCAGGGCATATCCAACTCTCGTATTTTTGTTATAAACTTGTGGTTGTTATCACTATTACAAACACTCTTATTTTGTGACAGAAATGTCACATTGTGAAACCGAGTAATAATAAGTAATAAATTTTAAAAATGTTATTGCTTAAAAACATTTTAGCACATGCATGAGTGGCCAACAATGGGTGGACATGAGTAAGGGGAAATAGCACTGGTGAGGAGGCAGCTTTAGTGCACAACCAAATTATTCTGACACTGCCCTGTAAAGAGGCCACGAAAATGGTAAAATAATCTTGGATCATGTCGCATACCTATATCACTATTTTATGTCGCTCAAAGCACCCCGCCAAGCTAATGGCAACACATATTGCAAAGAGTGCAAGTGTTTCTACTCTCTTGCACAGGAACGGATAGGTAGGTTAGAAAATGGACAAGAATACTTCAAGACACAGTGCCGATTTCATGGCATAAAATCAGAGCATATGCCACAAAAGGCTATTTTTTCTGCTTGGTAGTCTAGTCGATGCGTTGTATTGTAAAGCTTCAGCAGTGGTTTTACGAGTTACTAACATTATGCACCATGTAGCAGTGTCATCGTTGCATTGCATGCTTCCCTAGTAAAAATTCACCATTCACAAATTCAGGTATCTCCTTAATATAGAATATTTTGTCAAGACAATGTGAAATTAACAATGAGTGTGCAGATTTACATAATTAATTTCAAGCCTTACTCTATAACATATTTATATATATAATTTGGGACACACACACATGTCAGCATACTTTATAAAAATCTTACAAAGAACAGTGGGAATGGATTATGTTAGTCAGAATAAACTAGCTTTCCTCAAAAAAAAAAAAATAATAGCTATATAGGCAATACTTCAACTGCTTTTTACTGAACATCATTGTTTTAGACTTAAAAAAGGAGCACTGACATCAAATTTCAAGATCGAGATGTGCCCATAATTCAATCACTTGGTATGCATAGGTATTCTTGGCCAAACTTGAATGACGTCCATCATGTCGAAGTTATTTTATTTCGACGTCAAACAGAGCAGAAAAGCTAAGGAGACAAACTGAAAAATAGACGGCCCTGTGACATCGACACTAGTGCTATGTGTTCGGTGTGATACATTCCACAAACGCCATCCTGAGTGATGATACGCTAGTTACGATGACGTCGACGATCCCTGAGTGCGTTTGGAGCCGACTCCCAGCCATGCTGTCACTAGTGGCTCTCCATGCTATGTTGAAGCGTGCGTGCGAATCATCATGTCTCATCGAATTGTCTGCGTTGTGCTCCACTGCGTGTGATTACAATCATTCGGAGCGACGATATGTGCCAGAATGTCGAGAACCGCTGCGTAGTGAGAGCCTGCACGTCAAGGTGCGGAAAAAGTGTAAAGTGCATGGCATTTCATGCCTTTCCAAGCCATAAACTTAAACGCAGCCAGTGGGTTGACTTCATACACGCTGTTGGACCGAGGGACTGGACACCTGTGAAGAACAGCAGCATTTACTTCCTTCACTTTGCGGGGAGCTGCTACAGGGTAAATCCTGTGTTTGCGAACCAGTTGGTTTTCACTGGCAGTATGAGGCCTCTTCTCGAGGCCGGGGCTATTCCTACAATGTGCCCTGCTGTAGCTGAAAGCAGCGATTCACTCACAAAACGTCCGCGACATAAGGTGCGTAATTGGTGTTCCTGAGCTCCGACAATACGGCCGGAACTGATAAATACATTGCATTTAGCGCAGAGCTTGTCAAGCAAGGATCGTCGCGAATCGCGGCGATATCCAATTCCAGGTCATTGTCATCATCACTGAGACGACGGCGAGGAAAAAAATGTTGGTGACAGAGGCATGTCTATGCCTTCAGAGACACAGCTGGACGGACTGTACGTGCGCTCCTAACAGACGAAACGCCAGTGTGACACCACCAATTTTTGTAAAAGCAGCATCAGCTGTGCAGTGGCCTCGACGTGGCCACGAGGTAGCGCTGCCAGCATTACAACTTGGTGGGCTTTCTACCCATTTGAAACCGCGTTTGAATGCAAATATATTAATCAATATTACAGATACTCATTGGTCACTCAGATGCGTTTTAGGTCGCGAATCGCTACTAGGAGGTCAATAGCTACTCGTTGATGCAAAAATCTTGACGTGAGTAAATTTGATGTCAGTATGTTGCCACCCTTGAAAATGATATTTTTTTTTAGTGAACTTCAGTTTTTATTATTTCAAGAATCTACCTGCATTCAGAATAGACCCTTTTTACAATTCACAAGTGTGGTTCTCTGCACTGCACATGTGAACAAGTAATGGTGGCACCTACTTTGCTTAAAGCAGAGACGCGGTCCTAGTTGAATGTGCTGAGGCTTGTCTAATATGAGTGCTTATATGAAGAGAGGAGACTCAACATTTTCCATGTCATTGCATAAGAAAACCATGCTTGAACAGGCTATTTTGCACTAAATGACAGGCCATCAGTAGGTGTTCAAATTGTATAACAGGAAAGCTAACTTTACAATTCTGAAAAGGGTCAATTGTGCTGCAGCAAAAATAAAGTCTCCATGTGGTTTTGTTCAAAAGTCGTGTTGGTCTTCACAACTACCTTCCAGATACCGAAACTGATATATTGTGACAATAATACCTACATTTTAATTAGTAAAGCAAACTTATATTGAAACTCAAGTTCATGGGAGACATTCAGATTAGTTTGTAGCGAAGTATGCTAAAGCTAAGATTCAGTAATTTAATCACAGCCCATTTCTATTGCAAATTGCTCTAACTTTCATGTCAGGACACACAAAGCGCAGGCACACTGCACCAATATGTCGTGCTACCATTGCGAAAGCCATTTTATCAATCCAGTGTTCCATACTGTTTTCTTACAGAATATAACAAGTTATGGCTAAAGAGAGAGAGAAAAAATACGAAAGGAAAGGCTGGGAGGTTAACCAAGCAGGTTGCCCCCACTTATATACCGTACATGGGAGAAGGGTAGAATGGGAGGAAAAGAATAGAGAAGGAAGGAAAGAAAGGGAGGCCAAGCATTATGATGGCACACATACTAGCGTGTGTACACCGAGTGAAACAAAGGCTGAAACGGAAAGTGTGAAAAGTTGGTGTGCCTGCAACCGAGTCAAAGCTTTAGGCACAGTGCAATACAAGCACTGGGGAGGTCTTTACAAAGACATAGTAAACAAAGAGAAGAATGTGTATGTAGAGGTCTGTTTAGGCAATATATATTGAGAAAATATGTCTGCTGGAAAACTCAAAACGCAAATGAGTGCTTCAATGAAATGCTTTGGCAGTGTGTCCCTAAATCTGTCTATCCAGGCCCAGGAATTTTTGTGTTTGGACTATATGATTGTATATGTCAGTTCAGCAATAGAAATAGTGGCACGATTGATGTTTTGAGGCAGGTTGGTGCCGTTCCTGGCTATAAGAGCACAGTAGCTTGTCTCAGTAGGAACCAAAATCGTTTGAAGAACGCCAGCCGCCAGTCCACCGGTGACAAAAATTAAGCCAATTTAAAAATCCCAAAAACTAGGAGTGGACAAACCACGTAACAGTCTACTAATGGCAGCTTAGGAAGGTGCAAACTATAAGCCTGGCAGCTTTTATCGTCCCAAAAATTTCCAATGATGTCCCAAACTTTCCAACTTCTTGTTTTTTCTGAAAACTTTCATTTTTAGTTGTTTTTTCTTTATGAAAAGTCACAACTTTCAAATGACCCAATATTTTTCAATAAACCTTCCCATGCTTCTTTATAGAGCATTAATCTATGTGATGAACTTGGACAATTAAAAACGACCTAGAACTTTTGATGCCAAAAGGTTTCGACTAAAATTCAACCATCTGACACTACACAATTTTAGATTTTTCGGCCATGGTATGTCTAATATTAATGACAGTGCAAAGATCATTGCACAGCCCTGTTGTACAGCTACATTGCTGCCAAATATTTTTCGTGTAGTATCTCAAGATTGGTGTTTATTGCTCTTTGTATGATGGGCGAATTTTGGGTAATATTCATATTCAAATTGTGACTAGTCGCACTTTCTTTGCCAAACATCCTTGAAGTGTGTTCCTAAGCTGCCCTCTTTAAGACAGGCACAAAAAAATCAGTATAGGATCAAAATCTAAAAAGTTTTTTATAAGTGTGGCAACATACCTAAAAAAAAATTAGTATAAAGCTCTATATAAACATGACAATATCATCTTAACAAACTCAAACTTCGTCTAAAGTACACTGAAATATTCTGCTGCACTTGCATTTAGCATTTCTTCAACTCTCACTGGTGTTTATAAAGTTATAGTTATAGCAGTAATGAAAAAGAGGCCCTGCATGAATATACATGCAGGTGTTTTCCCTACAAGAAGCAGCCAAGGATTGAAGCCACTGAAGTGGGGCAGTAAAACATATATATCACCCCTAAAAATGCTACACCTTGCTCTTTACACTGAGTTGTTTTCTGTACAGTGTTTTACATGAGCTCTCACTTCTGCTTCATTATGATGTGGCTTAACTGATCAAAGCAATAATTGGGACAGTGTTTTTCACCTCCATTATGACCATGTACACCCCTGCACCTGCTCTCATGTTTAAGCATGGAGGCCAATGTTAGAGCTGTGCACTCCTTCGCTTATGTTCCACAAGAACTAACGCTGGGCACTGAAGTTTCTGGGGAAGTTGGCGATCTTTTATCATGATTGAAACGCCATCACATACGCAAAGAATATCACGGCCTTTACATTGGCATTTACTGTCACGTGCAGTGATGGAAGTGCCTTTTTACTTTTCGGGGCATGATACTTTGTAATAGAAAAAGCACTACTTTGGAGCAACCATAAGTGCTTTCAGAGCAGAAAAAAATGCTAGTTAAGAGCAGCTATTGGTGTTTTAGGAGCTGATAATGAATTTCCCATACATTAATTGGAGTTCAATTGATTGATTGATATGCGGGGTTCAACATCCTAAAACCACCGCATGATTATAAGAGATGCCGTCTTCATATTATTTTGTCCACCTGGGGTTCTTTAACGTGCACCCAAATCTGAGCACATGGGCCTACAACATTTCCGCCTCCATCGTAAATGCAGCCGCTGCAGCTGGGATTCGATCCGGAGAGCAGGGGGTCAGCAGCCAAGTACCTTAGCCACTAGACCACCGCCGCGGGGCATTTAATTGGAGTTCAGAGCATTGTCAAAGCATCTCGTAAATATTAATATTTATTATGAAATATTTTTAACAGACAACAATTAATGTAAATTTTATGAATGAAACAATGGCAGGTCAGAAATGTACTATAATTGTTTGAAATGAGCTACAATTTATTATATTATTAGTTGTGGCAGAAATCAAATCAAACTGCAAAATATCAGTGCCACATTTTAGAAATAACCAAGTCCCATTTAACTGTTGCCAATGAAGCAGTAGATAACCAGTATGAGATAAAAGCAATTCTGCTCATTTTCACATTTCATCACACTAGCCTGCATGTTTAGCTGAGAAAAAAAGAAACAGCCAGACGAGCTATATGCTCAATATGCCAGTTCTTCTCACAAAAATGACATACGAGCCGATAATGCTGCACACTAGTAGCCCACAGGGATGATAGTACACAGATTATTTTATTTTATTTTTTTATTCTGTTTCTTTAAGACTTGTGAGCCGGTAAACTGTAAACGTTTATCATTCTGATTTTCTCAGTGTCATTTCGGAGCAAGTTTAGAGCAATTACTAACAAAAATTACTGCTTGGAGCAGCATGGAGCAGTACTTCCATCACTGCACCATGTGAATCACCAGTTGTGTCAGTTTTATGCACAAAATTGACTTTTGCTCAAAACAAATCTTAGTCCAAAACATATTCCCTAGAAATTATTGACAATTAAGGTCGCAAGGTCTGTGCAACTTTTCATAGAACGTACACATTGCAACAATGAAAAGCGTGGTCTGGATCGATTTAACAGTGCAATGATGATACTGCAACACAAAAAATAACGTTAAAAATGGTAATTATGTCAAACGAAAATCTTACAGCACTAATATACTAGCGTTTATATGCAAAGCAATGCAACAAAACTGCATGAAGCAATCATGCCACTTACATCAGCTTTGTAATTTGCAAAGGTTATTTGCTGATTTTCAGATTGAAAAACCCAGCCGATGTCATCGCCCCACTTGGCAGCAGCTGTGTCTATGTGCTGTCCAAACGTTTCTCCAGTCAAGGCCGTCTCACTTGGCTCGCACTGATAGCTGGTGACAAGCTTTCGTGATTCCACAATCACAGCCGACTGTGGCCTGCATGAAGCGAAAACACAAAATCTCAAGCAACAATGCAGAAGACATGCCTTTTTAGCAAGAGATCAAGCATGTATTTCTGGGAAATAATGGGGTAATAATATGCAAATAATTACACATTGCATTGTATGCACACATTACCCCGATATTGTCTCTACTGCACCTCTTTTGCTGTGGCAACTCTGTGGCTGTGACTAACTCAACCCTTGTCAGCCACCTTTAATGAATGCCCAAGAAAAAGAAAAGAAAGAAAATAATGAGCTGAAAAATTTAATGCCTTCTTTGCAAATCGGCTTTCAGTAAGCATCCTCTTAAAAAAATTAGGTGACATCATATCAAATTCTACTGAAAGGAAATGTACTAAATGGACATTTTATTGAGTTCATATTAGTAATGCCATGTACATTTCATGATTTCTCAATATCGTCATTGGAGCTGTGGGAAAAAGCAAAATTATCAATACAAACTGCATGTCAGAAATCAAATAAATAGATATGTTTCATTGCGATTACCCTTACCATTGGGCTTCATTACTTATGACATCTTTTTTTTTTTTTCCTTGTTTCTTTCTCTTTTTTTGCCAATAGAAGAAATTACAAGTAAAATTGCAGAAACATGTGAATTTCAGTCCCAAAACTCACTTTGTAAATACATGGCCAACCACTAAAGATAATACACCGTATTAATGCATGCTAAATAGGATGCCCTATTGTAAGTACGGTTTCTGCAGATTGAGGAGCAGATTGAAGCTCTCTATATGCCATGGGGCACTCTATGCAAAGAGGCATTTACAGTAATTAGAGGCAAAACTGCCTATCCATGCCACAAAGGAGTGCATCACTTATGATCAACCACCGCACAGTCAACTTTTACGGTCGACTATGCACAAGAAAACTGTAGACAATATTGAACATAAAACCTTGCTTATTGCATTAGTTACTTGTTGTGTTCAATTATTTATACATAGCTCCTAATTTCTTGAGAGTATTTTTTCCAGCAGAAAGCTGCTGCAAGATTACAATAACAGCAGATTTTGGTGGTGTAGTTGTCTGCCGTTACCAGTGTTTGCAACCGCTATTGTACACTAAAGAAAAGTATATCCAAGGTTGAGCAGAATTTAAACCCAGGCACTTTGCGTGGAAATAAAATATTCTACCACAGTGCAATGCCATTGCTTGAAACAAATTTGACAAAGGTGTCTCATCGAGCAAGGAATGACGTCAACTTATATGGTGTTGCAAAGGTGTAAAATGATAACCAGGGGTCACACAGTGAGAATTGAATAAAAAGTGGGACAGTGGCATAGCCAAGAGATGGGGGTTGGGGGCGGGGGGGGGGGGTTCAACCCCCCCCCCCCCCCCAAATTTTCGCGCTAAAACCCCTCCCTCCCTCCCCCACCACTTACCCACCTTTTTTTCGTGGCAAACTATATAAGCGGTGGTACTATCACGATATCATTCCTGGGCCCTTTTACAGTGAATAATGTCTGTATGCGGAATAACGTGTCGCGGTGTTTGTCAAGGCTTTGGTACTCTGTAATATTTTGAGCAGAAACCTCGGCCGTGAGAGTTTTAGGTTAGCTCAGCGACGGGATTAATGCTGCAGTGGTAGTCATACTTGCACCCACCGGAATAGATCTCGCCGAAATCGATCACTACAATATTATTTATTAAGCAGAGGTTCGTTTTAGACATAAAAACCAGACACAGTTCCAAGGACTGATATGTCACCTTCAAACATATTACAGTGCGACTCTTTGAACGTGTGCTAAGATATACTCAAGCCAGAGACTAACATTGCTACTAAACCTTCTGCTAACATCTGCACATTCTGCTAACATCTAAGCAAACATGTGCGCGTGCGTGCTCAAGTATCCACAGAATATTCGGCTCATCCACCAAAATTCGCTTGTATGCTAGTGTACAATATATTGATACGCATGTTAACTATGGCCTAACAGCTAAAGGCATTCCGAAGTGTCTTGTAGGGATGAAAGTGCAACATAGGCAACATGCAGGCCAATAACAAGGTCTACTAAAATACTCATCATGTAACTTAAGCTGAAAAATAAAAAGCTGGTGGTCATAAACCTAAACCACTGTAATGAGAAATGCAGTGTGGGCAGCTGTAGTAAGCACAAGGCCTATTGTTAAGCAGTATGGTAAGCAGCGCAAGAAGAAAAAACATACATCTAAAATATATACAACAAATTACAAATATATTTATGTTGATTTGCTTCGTCTGTTCGTCTCTTCAAGGGCACACCGAGCGATTTCTGAAACTAGCGCCATTACGACAAGAAATGCACAAAATGAAGAAACATGAGTCGACATGTTATTATACAAAATTAAGAATAATATACATAATAGCCATTATTTCTATAAGAAATGAAACAAGCTCTGTGCAAGCAATGTTTCACTCAGCAAACAGACACATGACATAGCAGAATACTGTAGGTCATCTTTTTCAATTGACACGAAGATTATCCGGTGCATTACATGTTATATTATATTCCACCAATGTTACACAACAATTGCAAGTATTATTAGATGTGAACATAGGTTTTTGCATTGCCGTTCACACCTTTCGTATCTGCAAGTGAAAAGTGTCACCGAAAAGTAAGGAGTAGACAACGGAGTAAAACAGAATCACTCAGCCGCGGTGTGAAAGCGATTTTCAGTAATATATCTCTATCAGTTGAACTTGCATGCGCCTTTACAGCTGGACATAAATAGCGTATAGTGATTTTACTGAAACCGTCTTTTTTACTACCCCCCATGGTGCTCCAGCGCTTATGGTGCTTCATTCTTGACCCGCAGGTCGCGGAATCGAGTCTCTGTCGTATGTTCGATGTAGGCGAAACCGCTCGATGCCTGTGCACTTCGATTTAAGTGCACGTGAAAAACCCAAAATGGTGTCATTTCTGGAGCACCCCACTACAGCGTCTCTCATAACCATATTGTGGTTTCCATAATCATCTCTCATAATCATCCTGTCACCCAGAGAAGGTCAGCTTGTCTATGATGGGGATCGTTTTTTTCTATTTAATTCTGTTTGTACTTGCACTAGTCCACTCCATCTTTTCATCGATTGACTCATCTTTGAGTGCTTCCAAAAAATTTGCCTCCATTTAGTGGTAGTTACACTCATGTTTTCTGAAATTTTCGAGCTCATTCTTCCCATGTGTGAAAGGAGAGAGGACAAGGCACCAAGAACTTGGCAAGTCTCCTTGCCTGAACTTTCTTTTTCAAAAAGCATACATGTCTTGCAGAGAGCTCCATCCTGATCTTTGGAATATACCAGCCAAGAAAACATTTCTTACCAGTGAGGTTGGAACTTCAATTTGCACTTACTGAGGGACAGCTGTAGTTCGCACCTGGCTTGCGTGGTGTCATTCGCAAACATCATCTAGTCTCGTCGTTCTGCAATTCCAGGCGTCTTGGCCTGTTAAACACGTAAATACTAATGTCATTGTCAGGAATCGCGGTTTCGGTGTATGCATCGTGTTTCGATCGGTTTACAGGAGTTCTTTCAGCACCCAAGTCCTATTCAGGCACTGTAAAACTGCAGCTGGGAATCGTTTCTTCGGCTGCTATAGCTTTTTCGCCAGTTGTCGATGTGCACTAGTTGCAGTGTTGCCTTTCAAGAAATTATCACCAAGTGTTACCTCACGGCTTTCCGGTGCAGCGATCGAGTCTCACAGAAGGGCCTTAATTGACACGGTACACGAACTGCCCAGCAATACGTGTAGGCAGCGTATTTCAAGAGGGTGACTTCTCATTGTAGAGAGCAATGTGCTCAGCAAAGTTCAGGAAGTGACACTTAATGTGATAAATGCAAACTTGAGCGACGATACATGTCGGCTGGTAAAGTTCCGCCTTAAACACTAGCACTCATTTCTCTCCTGGCAGAAATATTCGCGAGTATACATTTCCCCTGCTTCCCTTCAGGTACCGACCGGTAAGGTCGCGCAGGCCCAGTATCTTACTCTGCATGCTAAACGACTTGTGTTTATGACTGGGCCTCTACAAAAGGCTGGTAGTTTCCGTTGCGTTGTAATCCCATACCAGAAACGCGAATGAATGCGAAGGAATCGATGCCAGCAGTAAAATTCCAGCGACTCGCCTCAGAATGCCTGAAACAGACAACCGACAAGCACGAATGGTGCACAATGCAGCGTAAGTAAACTCGTTTTGCCCACGCTGGCAGTTCTCGTCGGAGTTCACATGTTCTGAAAAATTGATCATGGTGCACTATGCTCTGAATAAGACCGGAGTTCATTTCTTCATTACTAGTGAACCGATCACTCGAGATTTTAAGTGGTACGAGGCTACTCCTGTTTGTGCCGGCGCAAGTGCTGCTAACATGAATTTATGTACTAGTAAGAACAGTGCATACATGGTGTATCTATGCTGTGCGGTGAAATATTCTTTAGACTTCTGAATCTGTTGACTTGATTGATTGATTGATATGTGGGGTTTAACGTCCGAAAACCACCATATGATTATGAGAGACGCCGTAGTGGAGGGCTCCGGAAATTTCGACCACCTGGGGTTCTTTAACGTGCACCCAAATCTGAGCACACGGGCCTACAACATTTCCGCCTCCATCGGAAATGCAGCCGCCGCAGCCGGGATTCGAACCCGCGACCTGCGAGTCAGCAGCCGAGTACCTTAGCCACTAGACCACCACGGCCGGGCAGAATCTGTTGACTTGACGTAAGAAAAAATGATGGCTGCACATTTGCAAAAAATGCACGACACTTTACGGCAACGCTATCGTTTGAGGAAGCAGAGCGACCAAAGCTATGAAAAAGAAGGGGAAAAAAATGAGAACATTACCCGTTTCCGAGTGTATTTAGGTTTTTTAGCGCATATATGCAGCCCACAAGCTATTTCCATGTTAGTAGGTATAGTGTGGTTCCAGGTGCATTTTTGATTGAGACTGAGTGAACATTTCTGAACAATGATCACTTTGCCCTCGCAGATAGCACGATAAAA